GATCGCTCGCGCGCCGACGTCACTCTTTGTTTATACAGAGATTTGGGAAGTTTGACCTTTCACTAAACATATTTAGATATATGGGAAACCACAATGGAAGATGATTTCTGTATATCTAAATATGTTTAGTAAAAGGTAAAACTTCCGAAATCTCCGTGTAAATATTGAGTGACGTCACACGCAAGCGATCACTTCCGGCGTAACATTGAACTGATTCAGTTCGGTTCAGTTGGACATTGAACAACTGATTCAGATCACTGTGATTACACGAGGTAAAAACGATATAAACACTGTTGGTTTTCTCACACAAACCGCTCGTTTCGTGTCTTAGGCCATCAATACTTACATTTACGAGTCATTAAATCATGTTTAATTTGGACTTCTCTGTGCTGCTCTTTGGTGGACCCCCTTAGCCTCCAGTGTATGACTGATAGACAACAACGGTTTGACTGAAAAATGTCAAAATTGAAAATACTGTGGAAACAAAAACACATCTTGGATTCCCTTGAGGTAAGATAAAACATATAAAAAATTAATTTCAAAGTAAACTATCCCTTTAAGCTGTTTACGGCTTTACTCTGATAACGTAAAACAGTTAAATCATTTACATGACCACTCACATTGTCGACTTGTTATTATGCATAATCGGGTTAAGAACGAGTCATTGTCTCGTAACGGAACATGATGCAAACAAGTTTTGGGAAGAATAGAATGTGTTTCTCACTCAAAGCACTGTATGTGTCTGAACATGTGGCCGCCGTGTCCCTCGAACGCCCGTGTTCAGAGGCGCTAAACTACATCTTGAATGCAGTCGGAATTCCTTTCCTATGATCTCATTTCCTCTCTCTCTCTGGGTCTCTCTCTGTTACGTCTTTATCTCTGCTCTGTCTTTATCTGTGTGTGTGTACAGATAAAGGTTTTTCAGGATTTGTTTCTGTTATTGGAGCCAGTTGTCCAGTAACGGTAAATGGTCAAAGTGTGTGTGTGTCACACCTACAGAGAACCTAGTTTACATTGACTTTGACTTTTTTATCAGCAGAACCCACCTGAACTAAAATATTACATCTAGAAGTTCTAAGTTTGAATTTAAAAATAATTAATTGTATTAATTGTAATACAATTCGCAATAAAAATATTTTTTTTATTTAGTAATTTTAACATTGATAATTTTAAGTAGCAATTAGTAATTGGAAATTATGAATGAACTAATTAATAAAATTATTATTATTGTTATTATATAGCCATATTGATATTTTGGCCACATGTGCAGCCCTACAAACAAGCACTGCAAGCCTGGATTTTATGAAATTGCAATTTAAAGCGCAATCTCAATATTATTCAGAATTATTCGATTTTTTTCTCTAAATCGTGCAGCCCTACTTATTCTTCATCCATAACTCTATTTGTTTCCCAGCACAAACCTCTAAACCTCTTCTTCCTCTGTCAGGATCATCATCTCTCTCTCTCTCTCTCGGGCGTCCTGACCTCATTTCCTGTGACTGTGATTTGCTCTTCACCACCTACTCAGTGTTTGTGTTGTGAGGTGTGTGTGTGTGTGTGTCAACGAGTTCATGAGCCTCTTTATGCATGTCAGTAACGTGTTCGTATGCGTGTCTGTGAAGGAAAATGGAGCCTCGCACATTCAACTAAACACGAACACATAATCATTAGCTGTCATCCAATCAGAGTCTAGAGCTGAAAAATCAACGCCAGAAAAAATCATGATTTCATATTGATATTGTTAAGATCTCTGAAACTCTACAGGAGACTCGTGTGTGTGTGTGAGGGATGCAGATGTAGAAAGACTTGCCCGTTTGATGACGAGGTTATTTTCGTCTCTCTGAAACACAAATTTCACACTCATTTGCATTGTCAGCTGAGGTCCGAAACAGGAAACAGTTCCTGCAGTGAGTCTGTCACCATGGCAACAAGCATGCGTCTACACACACACACGTTAATGTATTTACAGATGTTTGGTGTTTACGCCTGCGCAGTTTCAGAATTATCCCATGGGAATTGGGAAATGTTCCTCGTCTAGATTTTTCCAGGTTGGGGGCGTCGATTATAGAATCACACCAAAAAAAAACTGGAATTGATCATACGGTCAGAAGCGTTCATATCAAAGTCACACACACACACACGACGCTGTCTCTCGATGAGAGAGGAAACACATGCCGGGAATGCAGAACACACTTCCTGTTTTCCTGTGGTGTCAAGGCTTGTTGCATCAGGGATTAGTTGTGTGTGTGTGTGTGTGTGTGTGTGTGTGTGTGTGTGGATGTATGTACACACACATACACACAAACTTTTATAGTAGTTACAGTTAATTAATTTGACAGCATTAGTTCTTATGACGAAGTACATTCTGCGTTACAATAGTAATACATTCCTGTCATAATTTCTTCAAGTTAAATCGAACTTTTATTTTGGCGGGTTGTCATGAAGAGCTTTGAGTTTCTGTGTGTCTTAATAAACTGTATTATAACGGGCTTTCGAGCCTCCAATGGGACTAATGTTTCCCACAGGAACGTTCTCCTGGTGTCGCTCGCAGCGCCGGTGACGTGAGACACACTCGTTGTTGAGAGACTCTTATTTTGACGGCGCTGAGAACGCCTGAACACATTCTCGATTTTGAATTGACCACATTTTAAAAAACAATTAATCCGATTTTTTTTTTTTTTGCGCAGGCCTAGTATTTAAGTATTTATTCGTCTCTCATTCCCTTACGGGTTGACCAGCACTAGATCTAGTGATGACTGAGCTCCAGTAATCCCACAATGCCCTGCTCCCCAGAGTGACCCACAGCTGTAATCCAATCAGGATCTGTGTGATTATGAGAGGAAGCAGAAGTCAGAGGTCGTGTGCTTCTGACCCACTTAGCAAAAGTCCGTCGACAATTTCGACTTTTATTTTGGTGGGTTGTTGTGTTGAACTTCACTGTCAGTCATTAAAGGCTGCTTCAAATCAAAGTGGAAGTTTTTTAGCTTTTAGTATGAATATGTTTTTCAAAACAATGACAAAATTGTCATTTAGGAGATATAAGCATTCAAAACTATCGATCCGCTAACATGGATCAGGGATTTATATGACATCACCGCGGACTTCGGCTTCTCATCACATCTCCTGTCCAATCAAACGCTCTCTAGATTCTGAAGCCCCACCCCCTCTGCTATAAACAGCACCTGGCCTAAGCGAGCGTTGACGAGGGCGTAACACGACACCGTTTCACTCTGTGGAAACACACACCGCAACACACCCAACTTCCTTCCACAGTGTTGCATTCTTTCTGCCGCAGCGTGTGTGTGTGTGTGTGTGTGCAGCATTCCTCCGCTCACGTGTCTGATGTGTGTATGGGGTTGCAGATCCCACACAGATTTTTGCGTTGAACCCACCGGCCCCGCCACGCTGCTGGAGAATGCATTGTTCTGTTTGAGCCACAGGGACGCTCTCTCGGAGAACTGCAGCTAGTGTTCGTGACGGCGGTGAAACGTTCATCGCACGTCATCTTTAGAACAGCTCAGAGATCCACTGGTTGATGATCACACGTTGATCTGATTGGTTCCAAGGTGGTTTGTGACGTCAGAAACACCAGCGATTTCAAAGTGTGTTTTTGAGACTGTCTTTGGTTCACTGCAGCTTTAAGGAGGAAATACTTATACACTTATCAACTTATGAACTTAAAGTGTATTACCACATACACACATAAACAACATTAAACTCTGCATTTACAACATGGGGGGACTTTCATAAAAGTCTCAAAACTCTTTGTATTTTGTGTTATTTTAGTGTATAAATAAATATATATATTAATTTGATTAGATGTCAATATTCAGTGTTTATTTTGTGTTTCTAGCGCTTAAAGGATTAGTTCACTTTTGAAAAAACTTTTGCTGATAATTTACTCACCCCCTTGTCATCCAAGATGTCCATGTCTTTCTTTCCTCAGTCGAAAAGAAATTAAGGTTTTTGATGAAAACATTCCAGGATTTTTCTCCATATAATGGACTTCAATGGGGACCAAACGGTTCAAGGTCCAAAAGACAGTTTCAGTGCAAACTGTTCAAAGGGCTTTAAACGACTCCAGACGATGAATAAGGGTCTTATCATGCGAAACGATCGGTTATTTCAAAACTTATTCCAAAAATGTAACTTTTCGCGTTTGTAACGTCACGTAATACGTAATTACGTTCAAAAGGTCACGGGCGACGTAGCCGGAAGTACAGAGTCAGTGTTTACAAGTTGAACGCATAGGTTGAACGTGAAAACTAACTCAAACGCCGTTTACAAAAAAAAGGAATTAAAAGGTAAAACAACGATGTCGGACGATTTTGATTCTGTACTTCCGGCTACGTCGCCCGTGACCTTTTGAACGTAATTACGTATTACGTGACGTTGCAAACGCGCCTCACAGAATAGAGCAAGGCTAGCATTTGCCCTTAGAAAAGTTACATTTTTGGAATAAGTTTTGAAATAACCGCTCATTTCGCTTGATAAGACCCTTATTCATCGTCTGGTGTCGTTTAAAGACATTTGAACAGTTTGCACTGAAACTGTCTTTTGGACCTTGAACCGTTTGGTCCCCATTGAAGTCCATTATATGGAGAAAATCCTGGAATGTTTTCATCAAAAACCTTAATTTCTTCTCGACTGAGGAAAGAAAGACATGGACATCTTGGATGACACGGGGGTGAGTAAATTATCAGCAAACGTTTTTTCAAAAGTGAACTAATCCTTTAAGAAAAGTGCATTGCAAATAAAATGCTTTTTTTTTTTTTTTTGCGAATGTTGAAAGTTCATTAGTTACGAAGCAAACTCAGTTCAACTATAGCCAAAGTAACTGGGTTTTATTTTTGATAGTAAAAGTGAGGACTATCATCACATAATGCCGTTCACACACACACATCGTGTTAAAATACTGCAGTCGTCAGAATGATGCTCGGACGTGCGTCTCGTTAAACTCATTAACGACTGAAGGACTGTGTGTGTGTGTGTGTGTGCAGGAGAAGCCAAGAACATCCCTCCGTATCCCGGGCCGAATAAAATGCGGGATTGTTACTGTACAGTGAACCTGGACCAGGAGGAGGTGTTCCGAACCAAGACCATAGAGAAGTCTTTATGGTGAGGACACACACACACACACTCTCACACACACTATGCAATCAATAAATGCATCACTGCAGCCTCATACATCAATGTAACAATGAAAAATAATTTAATTAAGAAAAAGAAGACCTGAATGTAATTGTTATAATACCCACAATCCCCCCCCCCTCTCCGCTGCAGTCCGTTCTACGGCGAGGACTTTTATTGTGAAATCCCGCGCAGTTTCCGCCATCTCTCCTTCTACATCTTCGACAGAGACGTGTTCAGGAGGGACTCCAGCATCGGTGAGCGTCTCTCATTGACCTCTGTCTACAGGTCATATCACAGGATGCTGCAAGATCTACTTCCTGTTGTATCTTTTCGCCGCACTTGTGCAGAACTCACGCTGTGATTGGCCGGCGCTCCAGAGTAGTGAAAGCTGATTGGCCCTGACGGAGTGGGCGGGGGAACTGTGTGTGTATACAGTACAGTGAGAGATAGATCTGACACTGTTTATTCAGAGGGATTGATGGGGATTTTACCAGATGAGGCTCTGTGAGTGACACTTCTCTGCAGAAATAGCCTGCATTTCTGATTGCAGTACCAGTTTTGGCCACAATCTTACATACAGCTCCTTTAATTATAAAGCTTGACCAACCAGATGATTATGTTTCATTAATGCAGCTGCAGGCCTTAATATGTTACACAGATATTGAGGAGAGAGAATGTTTGGAAAGAGTGTAGGACAAACAGGGATAAAGTGTTCAATTGTTAACCTGAAACTTTCTCAGGAAATGTGAGCAATTTCTGATGCAAAGAGAGAGAGAGAGCATGTTGAGGCGTTGCTGGAGTTTGCTTGGAGACAGGATTAGTGTGTGTGTGTGTGTGTTTTTTTCTCTCATGCAATAAATAAGATGCAATAAGTAAGATCTGATCTGGCATCTGTGATTGTGATCTGTTATTGTGATCTGTGATTGTGATCTGTGATTGTGATTTTGATCTGTGATTGTGATCTGTGATTGTGATCTGTGATTTTGATCTGTGATTGTGATCTGTGATTTTGATCTGTGATTGTGATCTGTGATTGTGATCTGATCTGTGATCTGTGATGGTGATCTGTGATTGTGATCTGAGCTGTAATTCTGATCTGTGATTGTGATTTTATCTGGGATCTGTGATTGTGATCTGATCTGTAATTCTGATCTGTGATTGTGATCTGATCTGGGATCTGTGATTGTGATCTGTGATTGTGATCTGATCTGTGATTGTGATCTGTGATTGTGATCTGATCTGGCATCTGTGATTGTGATCTGATCTGTAATTCTGATCTGTGGTTGTGATCTGATCTGGGATCTGTGATTGTGATCTGTGATTGTGATCTGATCTGTGATTGTGATTTTATCTGGGATCTGTGATTGTGATCTGATCTGTAATTCTGATCTGTGGTTGTGATCTGATCTGGGATCTGTGATTGTGATCTGTGATTGTGATCTGATCTGTGATTGTGATCTGTGATTGTGATCTGTGATTGTGATCTGATCTGGCATCTGTGATTGTGATCTGATCTGTAATTCTGATCTGTGGTTGTGATCTGATCTGGGATCTGTGATTGTGATCTGTGATTGTGATCTGATCTGTGATTGTGATCTGTGATTGTGATCTGTGATTGTGATCTGATCTGTAATTCTGATCTGTAATTGTGATCTGATCTGGGATCTGTGATTGTGATCTGTGATCTCTGATCTGATCTGTGATTATGATCTGTGATTGTGATGTGATCTGTGATTGTGATCTGTGATTGTGATCTGTCATCTGTCTACAGGTAAAGTGGCTGTGAAGAAGGAAGACCTGCAGAAATACCACGGTAAAGACCACTGGTTCCCACTGCAGCCCGTCTGCGCAGACTCAGAGGTGCAGGTATGTGTTCATACGCCTACGCACGTGTGTGTGTGTGTGTGTGTGTGTTGCCATTCAGGTCCAGTGGATTTCAAAACAAATACAGTGTGTGTTGAGCACAAACATGACTGAATCCATGTCACCTTGAGCTCCCCAACGCTTTACACCCTCTTAGGTCACGTGACCACTAACAGCTTCATCACACAGACACACACACACACACACGCGATCGAGAGATTTAAAGTGTCGTGTGTGAAGAGTGCGCGTGTGTGAATGAGCTCGAGTGTGTAAGAACGAGTCTAGGACTGAATCAGTGTTTTATAGCAAAACATATTAATCCGATGAGCAGATTCATTAACTGTAGTTATTACTCCAACACATGCGTGACATCATTAACCGGCTAACTGTGTGACAGTACGGTTTCGGGGAACAGTGGAGACTGGCTGGTGGGTCTCCTCGTGTTATGATCGTGAAGCCGAGAGGGAAACACACCCCAGATCTCCAGGGCAACAGTAATATAGTGTGTGTCGGATAACCTCAGAAACATCTGTATGCGCCCGAGGACCCGCAGAAACACAGACGCGTTCACTGAGAGGAAGGATGTGTGTGATGAAGAGGCGAGACTCTGTCCATAAAGCGCTCATTGTTGCGCTGTGTGTGAAGAAGAGCTCATTTGCATATTGATGATGTCAGCTGAAGTCAGACAGAGAAACTTTGTCTGGATTGGAGGAGAAGTTGAGAAAATCGAGCTGAAATTAAGGCTTTCTTAACGTCTGACGGACGCTCGTCAACTTCAGGATCTCTCCAGTGTTTCCTGTGAGTCTGTGACTCATCAGCAGCAGCAAAGGCTCATGGGAACCTGCAGTCCTTCTTCCTCTAGCTCTGTTTTCATTGGTCTCTCCCTCTCTTCGGGTGGCGGGGTAACCATGGTAACGCTCTTCTCTCTCTCTCTCTCTCAGGGAAAGGTTCACCTGGAGCTGCGTCTCAGTGAGGTCATCACAGACAGTGGAGTCGTCTGCCACAAGCTGGCAACACGGTGAGCCAATCACGAGCTCCACACAGACACCCGTCAGCCAATCGCAGCTCTCGACTGTTAGCCCAGGGCCTTTTCACTGATATCCAAGAGTTCATCAGACACCAGATATAATGTTTGATTTTTACGTAGTTTCTAGTGTGTCAGTTTAATATTCCGAGTCACAGAGTCCGTTCGACCGATGAGTCAACCAATCATGTGAGTTTGGGGGCGGGACTATCTGACAGTCTGACCAATGACTGATGAGAGATCTAGGTCGTGGGTTCGATTGCCAGCAAATGCGTAAACTAATAAAACGTATGTCTTGAATGGAATGTAAGTCACTTAAATATAAATGTAAATCAGTGCAATTTGCATAAAGCGCAGGAAGTGAAGATTATATTTCTATTAGTTTTGCGGAGACACAGTTACGGTTTCCACAACATTTGTGAGATCATATCTTTTGACCAGATAGTCACAGAGACTTGGGATTGGGCTCTTTTGACTCGGCCTATCATAAAGCCAATAAGTAGTGACATAACAACTTCATGGCCACGCCCTAGCAACCACTTAGGGCACCCTAGCAACCATAAAACAACATTTACAAGCCATATTTCAGCTCCAGAAAATGTTAGAGACGTGGAGCTCGGCTTTTTTGACTCAGACTGTCAACTAGTCTTTAAGTGTCGTCCCATAAACGCTGCAACCCAACGCCCAGTTTTTCCACTTCACACTTTCTTCAGGAAATGTACGTTCTAGTTCAAACTCTAGACTAGTTTAACACTGAGAACAGAAGTGAGGAACACACACCTCAGCATTAGTGTGTTCGTGCTGCCATTCTGCACACTCACTGAAGTGTGTTCAGCATCACACTCACGCTCTGCTGATACGCCACTGTGTGTGTGTGTGTGTGTGTGTGGGGTTTGATGATTTTATTAGCGCCTCACGCTTTATTTAAGGAGATGAGAGAAACGCAACACTCAGAGTAAATAAATTAACTGATGTGTGTGTGTGTGTGTGTGTGTGTGAGTGAGAGAAAATTTGTGTGAGAGAGTGTGTGTGTGTGCTGCATATGTTTGTGTGCGTGTAAGAGACAGTCGGAATGTGAGTGTGTGTGTGTGTGTGTTTGTGTGCATGCATCTGTGTGTGTCTTTGTGTGTGTATGTTTGAGAGAGAGAGAGAGAGAGAGAGATTGTCTGTGTGTGTGTGTGTGAGAGAGAGTGTGAGAGAGAGTGTGTGTGTGTGTGTGAGAGAGAGAGAGAGAGAGAGAGAAAGTGTGTGTAAGAGAGAGAATGTGTGTGTGTGTGTGTGTGTGTGAGTGAGTGAGGGAGAGAAAATTTGTGTGTGAGAGAGAGAATGTGTGTGTGTGTTTGTGTGCTGCATATGTTTGTGTATAAGAGACAGTGGGAATGTGTGTGTGTGTGTGTGTTTGTGTGCATGCATCTGTGTGTGTCTTTGTGTGTGTGTGCTAGCTGCATGTGTTTGTGTGCGTGTAAGAGACAGTGTGTATGTGAGTGTGTGTGTGCGTGCATGCATCTGTGTGTGTCTTTGTCTGTGTGTGTGTGTCGCACAGCGTCAGTGGCTCCATGTCTGGACCGTTTCCCACACTGGTGCATTCTGGGTAATGAGCTTAGTGTCACAGTGAGCCGCGTCTCATTCACAGGATATTTATGCAGCTTCCATTTTAAGACACAGTGAGGATGACGTCTTCACACACACTGATCGCTGCGCTGGATGCTGCGTCCACAGGGAACATCACACACACACACACACACACACACATTACTATATATTTGAGTCTCAGTCCTGCCGGCCTCGTGTGTGCTGTCAGTGTCAGCTGGGTTTGAGTGAACGGGGCTGTGTTTTTGATATTGATAATGACGTTAAAGTAAGGACCGCACATGATGTTGTGTGTGTGTGTGTGTGTGTGTGAGTGTGTGTGAGTGAGGAGGAATGAAGCAAAGGATGCAATCGTTCATCAATGCTTCTACTCTGATGATGTCAGTGTGTGTGATGTTCAGCGGACTCAGTTTTATTCCAGTGCTGGACGTCATGCTGTGTGTGTGTGTGTGTGTGTGACCGTTATATAAAGAGGCTTAACACACAGAGGAAGTGCCTGGAAGGATCCGATAGTATTAGAGATGCTGTAGATCCTGTTCATTCATCAGCATTACACGCGCACACACACACACACACACACACACACAGCTGAGCTTTTATTCATTTCCATTACTCAATATACAACAGCACTGTATGATGTGATGTGAATCTGAACGTGTGTGAATGCGTCTGTCAGGACGATGCCGTTCAGCGGATGATGTCACACCACAGCTCGGCTCTGATTGGCCGGTTATGACATCATATAGGCCAGTAGCACAACAAGATTGCTGCAGTTTGTTTTGAGGCCGTGTGTGTGATGCTGGTCTTACTGTGATGTCAAAACAATCACAGCTTGAACTATTCTGAACGACGTCTGAAACGTATTTCCAGCACTTTATTGACTCATTAAATGAATACGTTTATTATATTATATCATATTTTTCACAGCATTCAACATAAATCATATGTACAGAATAAAAAAGGCTACTGCGACTTAATTTCACAATTCTGACTTGCGTGTTTGAATTGCAATAAACATGCAATTCGGAGTCTTATATTCATTAAAATTGGACTTTATAACTCGCAATTATCTGTGACTTATTTAGAATTGTTATAGAGTCAGAATTGTACGATATAAACATGCAATTCTGAGGAGAAAAGCTTACACTTATAATTGACACAAAACAAAGTTTAAATCATTAATTGAAGAGTTCAGATGCAAAAGCCTCTAAGTGCCATTTGAACATATATTTAAGTTCAGTGATTTCACTTAAATGGCAATGAAGATTACCTATTAATTGTCATTTAAGTGAAATTACTGAACTTAAATATACAAGTTTGATAAAAATGATCATTCTAGGAGAAAATTTCAAATGGCACTTAGAGGCTTTTGCATCTGAACTCTTCAATTGCAATTATATCTATTGCAATATTTAGCTTCTGTTTATGAATAAGTGTATAATATATTGTGATCATTGATGACGAGTGTGTGTGTGTGTGTGTGTGTGTGTGTGTGCTCCTCAGGGTTCTGGAGTGTCAGGATCTGCCCATAGTGAACGGCCAGTGTGACCCGTACGCCGCCGTGTCGTTACTCGGACCCTCCAGGTGAGATCAGACCCCAGAGCTGCTTAGAAGAACACACACACACACACACACACACGCTTGACTGCACATCATGGCCACACGCGCTGCTTTAGAAACGTGACGTGTCCAACTGAGGTCGCTAGTTCTTAGGGCTGGGCAAGAAAATCGATTTTTCGATTCTCAATTCTCAACTTTATTTATCTATTAGCTTAGTTTTAGTTTTAGTTTTCCTCCACTGTTCATAAGATTGCATGTTACAGTGAATGCTGGGAGATTTTATATGTTTTTTATCTTAAACATAAAATAACCTGATCAGATTTATCCAGTTTTCATCATGCATCAAAATCCCGTCTCTTCACTGCATGCGTTAGAAATATAGAGATCTGCTTTAATGTGCCCAAGTGCACCTCAGATGAAGAGTTTAATATGCTGCATGTGGCTCTTCATTTCTTTTTACTAATTAAATTCAGTGTCACATGATCCTTCAGAAATCACTCTAATATGAGGATCTGATGCTCAAGAATATCTGTAAATCACAATGATTGTGACGCAATGTAAAAGCAAAACATAAAAGCGTTTGTCACCCTCACAGGTCAGAGGCCAAGAAGACCAAAGTCAAGCGGAAAACCAACAATCCCCAGTTTGATGAGGTCTTCTTCTTCGAGGTAGGAGCTCATATACACACGCAAACCAACATTATTAAACATGTCTCTCATTATCTCAGTTAATTGGCTATAATGGTGATGAACATGAGCAGAACTCAGTTCTCAGATCAGTGGATATTTGACCTTCTGTTGGACTCTCACACATGAATTATGTTGAATATCTGATACACAATTAGATAATACCAGTTTAGCTCAACCAGTGACCAAGCAATGCTTCATGTTGTTCAGTGTGTGTGTAATTACAGAAAACACACTTCAGCAAAACATGATCAGCTCAAAGTGTCCGAATCATTTCTGGTAGTCGCTGTATGAAGAGTTATTGGGTGTAATATGTCCCAGTTTACTTTATTTTGCTCTCCTCACTCACAGAAATGAACTATAGTGTCCTGATCACACTAGTGAGTGTGTGAGTAATGTTTTGGTTTGACTGTGTGACAGGAAAGATAAAGAACCAACATGTATTAATTTCAGTGAAAGTCTTGAGATGAGAGACATCAGTGATTACGTTCTGGTTCAGATGGAAAGTTCAATACGGTGCTATGAATGATAATTGCAGGTGTTTGTACTCTAACTTCACACACACACACACACACACACACTGGTGGATTGTGGTTTCTCACTTTAACACTTCCCACACCCTCAACGCTCGGGGCTCACTGCACATCTACCGGATGTCTCTCTGACGATCTCCAGTGCCGCTCGTGAGAGTTTAGCGTTCATGCGACAGCCGCTCGTGTTATCAGACGTGACAGCTGTTTTCTCTCTGTCCTCACACACACACACACACACACACACATGAACTCGCCTCAGAGGACGACGAGACAAGAGTGTGATTGATGTGAGACACACAATCCGCTCCATTTAACTCACAGCCCTCGCTGCATTTCCCACACACATCTTTATCATCATCATCAATCACACACACACACACGTCTTTATCATCACAAATACACAAGTCTTCATCATCATCGTTCACACACACACACAAACACGTATCATTAAACACAGTTATTCGCTCGTGATCAGAAAGGAAATGTGTCCGACGGACCCGTCTTCCAGAGTGATGTCACGTATCCGCGTCTCGCCTGATTGGTCGGGTGGTCTGTTCTGTTGTAGGGATGCACCAGTATGAAAGATTCTGGCTGATGCCGATAACCGATTATTCTTTTATTTGAAAGCTGATAATCGACTGGTTGATAAATCTCAATCCACATTTTTATATAACTTTTGAGAGCCCGATTACAAAAACAACAGTCTCATCATGTCGCACTGAACTGCGTTTTCTCTTATTCAAGTGATTCCAATCATATTTCATGCAATTCATAATCATGACGTTGAAGACTCGCACCTGAAGCGTCTACGCTGAAGGAAATAATACTTTATTTAAGCCGATAACATTAACCCTCTGGGGTTGTTTGTTTCAGAGTCACACTCTGGGTGTTCGGGTCCAAATGGACCCAAAGGCCGGGATTCATATTAAAAAAAAAAAAATTAAGATTTTTTTTTTTACTCGTTTTTTATCATATTTTTTCTTTTGAGAAAATTTCAAAAATAAAAAAAAATTATAATTAGTAGTAATGCAATAATTATGACAAATAGAAAAAAATATTTAAAAAAATATATTTAAATTTTTTTTTTTAAAGCTGTATTTCATTTTAGAGTCAAGCCTAGGCCTCAAAAAGCAATTTTTGAAATGAGATGGATGCCATCTGATGGACAAACTGAGCATTTTAAAAATGCAAAACACATGTATAATCTGAATTTTTTTGGTGTGTTTGTGTATAAAAGTGTGTTTGTGTGTGTGTGGGGATGTGTCTGTTTTGCACTCTTGATGTTTTATAGATTCACCCCTTCACTATTGTGTGCTTTTTTCAAGATCGTGGCTGATTTGTAGATTGTATGCACAGAAAAAGTCAGTATTTTCACATTTTTGCCAATATCCCATTGATTTTCGAGTCATTCCAATCATATTTCATGCAATTCATAATCATGACGTTGAAGACTCGCACCTGAAGCGTCTATGCTGAAGGAAATAATACTTTATTTAAGCCGATAACATTAACCCTCTGGGGTTGTTCGTTTCAGAGTCACACTCGGGGTGTTCGGGTCCAAATGGACCCAAACGCCGGGATTCATATTAAAAAAAAAAATCATGATTTTTTTTTTTTACCCGTTTTTTATTATATTTTTTCTTTTCTATTTTTGGTGTTTTGAGAAAATTTCGGAAAAAAAAAATTATAATTAGTATTAATGCAATAATTATGACAAATAGAAAAAATAATAGAAAAAATATTTAAAAAAAATTTTTTTTTTTAATTTTTTTAGAGCTGTATTTCATTTTAGAGTCAAGCCTAGGCCTCATAAAAGCATTTTTTGAAATGAGATGGATGCCATCTGATCGACAAACTGAGCATTTTAAAAATGCAAAACACATGTATAATCTGAATTTTTTGGTGTGTTTGTGTATAAAAGTGTGTTTGTGTGTGTGGATGTGTCTGTTTTGCACTCTTGATGTTTTATAGATTCACCCCTTCACTGTTGTGTGCTTTTTTTCAAGATCGTGGCTGATTTCTAGATTGTATGCACAAAAAAAGTCAGTATTTTCACATTTTTGCCAATATTACCATTGATTTTCCGTGTGGGTCCATTTGGACCCGAACACCCCAAGTGTGACTATTTTTTTTACAACCACTTAGACTACTCACATCCTGTACCCAATTTTTTTGGGGTGTTCAAATACCAACAAAGTCACCAAATTTCGGACCATTGCGAGGAAGCTGTGATTTTTAAAAAAAAATTATTAAAATTCCTCAGGTCCATTTGGGCCGAACAACCCCAGAGGGTTAAACATGTACATATATTGGCGGTACCGATACTCTGAACGATATATCCTACATCGCTGGTTTGTTGTGTTTCAGATGATGGTTATTCTGGTCTGTTTCATCACACAGGTGACCCGACCGCTGAGCTACACCAAACGACACTTCGACGTGGAGGAGGACGACGTGGACAAGCTGGCGCTCAAGTGAGTGTGTGTGTGATTTACACTGAGCCAATGTGTGTGTTACTATATAAACTGCCCACAAACACAACCACGGTGCATCATGGTCTGTGTTTATGAGTCACACTTGTAGTATACTTTGCATATTTTTGAATATGGCCTTTCATGTAGTGTGTAATAAAGCTGTTTGTGAATATGAACGCTCTGCAAAGAAGCGATTCTGAACGCCTCTGGTCCTGATTGGCTGAGCAGCGTCTCTTAGCTCCGCCCTCAAACACTGTAGAGTATCTGAGACTGGAAGAGTTCGGCTCGTGTTGTTCGTGTTTTCTGAGATCGATACGGTGAAACCCACTGTTCGTATCACTGTGAGACTGTGTGACCAATCACAGCAGAGCAGCTCTCAGAGAGGCGGGGCTTAGAGAGACTGGAAGTATTTCAGACAGACGCTGCAGTGCAGATTAAAGATTATGAGGGATATTACTGTGATTTTGATCTTGGATGTGTGTAAATCTGTTGTAGGAGACACTAAAAACACCTTTAAAATAGCATTATATGGCACTTTAACTTTGATGTGATGTACATGTATAACCAATAAAATTCACAGCAGTGGAATAACTCTGGGCGGATGAGGACATGTCGAGCCTGGATGTGTCCCGTCTCGTCCACGGATTCGTTGCCATGATCTAGATTTGCCCCATCTGATGTTCTTTTGTGATTCGAGTTGTTGTTTTGTAATCTGAGCATGTCCTTCTTCTCTCGCCAGCTGCTGACGTGATGATTCACATGATCGTTTTAAAAACCGCTCTAAGTCGCTGTATGAAGAGTTATTGGGTGTAATATGTCTCAGTTTACTTTATTTTGCTCTCCTCACTCACAGAAATGAACTATAGTGTCCTGATCACGCTAGTAATCATGTCTGTGTTGACTGTATGATATTAATATTTGATTTCGTGTGTACTTGACTCTCTTCTCAGGGTGGATCTGTGGAACGCCAGCAATCTGAAGTTCGGAGACGAGTTTCTGGGAGAGGTACGGGTTCAGCTGAAGGTTCTGGGACAGTCGGGTGTTCATGACGCATGGTACGAGCCTCGTCGCGCGTGTTTTCTGTGTCAGACGCTAGTGCTGGGCGGTAGGACAAAAAAAAAAGGCATATTTTCACCGGTTTCACGGTATATGACGGGGTTTCTTTGTGTGTTAACCACATTTTCTACTGATTGAGAGGAAATACTGCAGTAGATTGACTCAGAACGAGTGAGTAGACTGACTCTGAACCGATAAACGTAGCCGAAATAGATCTAGATGGAGGAGATGAGAGTGTGTGTCGCTGTATAGATGGAGGAGTGTGTGTGTACCGTGGATGAAGCGGAAGATGATCATGATCTTGTCCAGGATCCTCTCCAGCTCTTCTTCTGTGGCCTCCTTGTTTCCCGCACGCAGTTTAGAGTCCACATACTTCGCTGAAGACACACACCGAGAGAAAGACACTCTTTCATTCATCAACCACTCATTAAACTCATCAAAACTGACATTTATAATCTTACAAAAGCTTCTGTTTCAAAGAAATGCTGCTTTTTAACTCTCTGGTCATCAAAGGATCTTAAAAAATCTGAAGCAGCACAACATTGATGACCAGAAATGTGAGAGTGTGTTTTAAAGACTATATACACACAAATATTGGCACCCTTGAGCAAAGCTGACTCTGAAAATATGCCTTTCATTTAAAATATTCACAAAAAACTTTTAATTAGTCAAATAATTGAACGAAAAAATATCTGTTTTCTCCTTGAAATATAGAAGGAATTCATTGACGTCACTTTGACTGAGCGGCTAAAGATCTGCTTTCTGGATTTAAGAGGGAAAACTGCGACTAAAACGAACAATTTTATCCATTTAAACTAAATGTTGGACTCAATATAGTGTTCCTTACAGCTCACTAAAGATCCAGTGATCATGGATATCGACATGCAGCCGGGAATCCTGTTCCTGACATTTATGTTTGATTTCCACACCGGAGAAATAAAAGCTATATAGACCTAAACATATGTGAACGCTTTATAGAAATACAATATAGGTCTAAACCCGGGTGATTGGTGTTATATATATCATCATATCGTCCAGACATAAAACTTTATAGCTTTTTTTTTGGTCTGAGTTTAAAAAAAAAACATCCAATAATGCAGAATATGCAATGATAAATATTTAATTGATGAGTTGTTATAACAATACACAATATAAGGGTATAAGGGTATAGTTTTCCAGCTAAATTCAGCATATTGACACACGATGATGACTGCAGATCCAGCTTTGGCTGACCGGAGTCCAGTTTCCATCCATTTGCTCCTCAGAAATATACCTCCGATTTATTGTCAGATCTAGTCGTCCAGTCAATCGCAAAACTCTTTCCCACTTTATATGTGTTTGTTTTTTCGAGAACATGTACAGCCGCTCAGTGTTTTTGCCAGTAACTCATACCCTCTATATTGTAGAAATACCCCACACTAGTTAGTAACGCCTCATAAACGCTGCTTTATCAGGAAAGATTCATTTGCAATAACGTTGCAACTTTTCTAAAGAGCGTCAGACTGGTTATAAACACCCGCGCCGCGTTCGACTGTTAAATGGTCCGTGCTCATGTTTATCCAGCATGTGACGGCTGTGTTGATGTGGTGAACCACTGTACAGGAAACAGTTCCCACAAGACAAAAAAGTAACTCAATGAACACTGGTATTGGGAATGAAGCGTTGCCCGCCCAGCACTGAGACTCGGCGTCTTCAGGACAGGAGCTCATCCTCCGCTCTCTTTCAGGTACTTCCTGCAGCCCAGAGATAATGGGCATAAATCTGTGAAGGCTGATGAGCTGGGCTCGTTACGGCTCAACATCGTTTACACGGAGGACCACGTGTTCCTCACGGAGCATTACAACCCGCTCCGGGACCTGCTCCTGCAGTCCGCGCACGCCGAGGTCAGTGAGGTCACGGCAAAGGTGTGTCTGACTCCACGGCACATGACGCAGTGTCGTTGTCCAATACATGTGTCATCTACCATAGACCCATAATGCACTGTTATTGACTAACACATCATCACGACTTATCACAGAAATCTATTCATCCAACCAGTGTAATAATTGAAGGCAGATGCAGTGAGCTCTCTGTCTAACAAATGATGATGACATTTAGAAAAACAGCATTGATTTGCCATTGATGATCACATGTCATGTGTGTGTGTAGCCCGTGTCGGCGTCGGCGGCTCACATCTTGGGCGAGGCGTGTCGTGAGAAACAAGAGGCTGCCGTCCCGCTCGTTCGACTCTTCCTGCATTACGGCAAGATCGTGCCTTTCCTCAGTGCCATCGCACACGCAGAGATCAACCGCACGCAGTGAGTACACACACACACACACACACACATCAGAGGTCTGCCATCCTTTAACCCGACCATTACGGTTATACTTTAAGCCCGAGCCGAGGTCCGTTTCTCATCGTAAATGCTAGGGCTGGGTAATAAATATCGATTTCTCGATATTAATCGATTCTCATTTTTACGAACCGATATCGATTCTTAAATCTCAAGAATCAATTAGTCATCCTGTTTCATTTGAATGAATGGATCATTCTATCGCGGCTGCGCGCATCCAAAAAAATCGCAATAATCTTTGTCCTTTGTTACTATTGATATGAAACAAAGTCTCAATTTTCAAGTTACGTCCATTTCCTTTAGAAATTCAAAAACATAAATAGTGTTTTGTCGCTGTGGCGTGAGATCGCTCTGGAGAAGCAGCAGCGCTGATCTCTCTTCCGGCTTAATAATACCAGTCACAGCGCCAAATAAACATGAACGAGCATCTGAAAGTGTGTTAAAGATAGAGGACAACTTATCCAAATCCGGATCATGTCACATTGATTCACTCAATCAGCGTTTCAACCGAGGAAAGACGTCAGTTAAACAGCTTGTAATCAATATCATGTATCGTCATATTCACCTCAGAAAACCCACATAAACTTGTTAGTCAGCTTGAAAAAATAACTCTAGAGAGGAGCATTTAGCTAAATATATACACCATATTACATATGCATTATAATCTTAATGTTCTTCAATATTTAATGCATATTTGAATAAATCTGGCAAGTTTTTATGACAGCCACCATTTAAATGTTTATATTTCATATAATCTTTTTATTATAAAAATAAATAAAAGTGTAATTTAAGTGTTTGTGTAGCTACAAAACATTCATTATTACCTTCATATTAGGCTAATGAAGCCTATAGGCTACAACTAGACTCCCATAGTTTACAGCATTAGTTCAGAGATTTGATTCCCTTGAGAAAATTTGCTATTTATTGTAACTGATATCCAAAATAATCAATATTGAATCGAATTGGAATCGAAATCGAATCGAATTGTGAAATTTGTGTCAATACCCAGCCCTTGTAAATACCTTTTTGCAATCTGCTGTATTTTATGATTGCTTGCAACGATAATGAAACAAATACATGCACACACACCGTTTCCCGAAGCGCAGACTTGCTCATTACGAGACTCTGCTGTGGTTGATCTGGGAAACAGTCTCTGATTCCTCTGCAACTCAAACATTAAACTTCAAAACAAAGTATATAAACACATCCTTCTCCGCACGAGTTATGAGGGAAGAGAACCGCACCGAGAGCTGATGTTCAGCTCCTCCTCTGAGTGTGTGTGTGTGTGTGTGTGTGTGCGCGGGACCACAGTTCTGTAAAATGATTTATGAAAAAATAAAAATGTTGTGCTTTCATTCACACGCACACACACACACACTCAGAGGAGGACGCGGCGATCAAACTGCACACGTGCCTTTCTCTCGCGTGCTTCAACACAGCTAGCATACGCCACGCTAACTATACATGTGTAGGCTAGAACATTTATAGCTTTTATTAGTTACGAACCCGAGGCTATTCATTAAACATTAACCCGACCCGAAACCTGTGAGTTTCTCGGGACCCGTCGGGCTCGGGTAGCAGACCTCAAACACACACACACACGTCTCCACCCCCTCCTCACCGTCCTCTGGTCTTCGCAGGGATCCCAACACCATATTCCGGGGAAACTCTCTGACGTCTAAATGCATCGATGAGACCATGAAGCTGGCGGGGATGCATTACCTGCGGGTCACGCTCAAGCCCATCATCGACGAGGTGAGGCTCAGGCTCAGGCTCTATAGCTGGGGTAAACACTCGAGGTCAGCAGTCGGACTCCTCATTTCAACATAAGCGTGAGACTCTGTTAGCGTGCGGGCGTGAGAGCCGCTCTTAAAGGGACAGCGCTGATATTCTCTATAATAACACACAGGACATTCACTGAATAACTTCTGTAACTATATTTATAATGTATATTTTATTTATAGAGTGCAGTCAGTGTTATTGTACATTTGATTACAGTTTCTGAACCGAGTTAGTGAGACTATACACACTTTATCTAGGACACTGCACCAAATAGTTTTATAAATAACTTTCAGGTTTTTCTGTGCTTCTGTTTTACTTCACCTGTTAGTTTGTTTCATTTTTGATGATATATTTTAAAATTATTGTTTGATGTCTTTGTCAAACTCTAAATTAAACTAAACTAAACCTGAAAAATCTGTTCATTTCAATCGTATCTTTGATCGGTGTATCTGTTTTTTTACGGTTGCTTATTTTTAATTACTGAGTGTTTATTGTCTTTAATAATGCTTTACATTTATATTAGTTCGGCTAGTTGTTTTCTATGGTGTTTTTAAACCTCCTTTTACTGTTCTCTTCCTGATGATTTCTGCTCATGATATTCAGCTACAATTAAATATTTTGCAATAAGATTAATATATATATATATATATATATATATATGAAGAGTTCAGATGCAAAAGCCTCTAAATGCCATTTGAAATTTTCTTCTTTAATGATGATTTTTATCAAACTTGTATATTTAAGTTCAGTAATTTCACTTAAATAACAATTAATAGGTAATTATCATTGCCATTTACGTGAAATCATTGAACGTAAATATACAAAGTTGATAAAAATTATCATTCTAGAAGAAAATTTCAAATGGCATTTAGAGGCTTTTGCATCTGAACTCTTCATATATATATATGGAATTAAAAGTAGGAATCAATAAGAAAATGAATTGGAATCATTCAAATTCAAAGATCCCCAACCCTGATCATTGCTGTCGCTCGCCTTGAGCTCTTTCACAGTGATGTGTGTGTGTGTGTGTGTGTGTGTGTGCAGATCTGCAGCGACCACAAGCCGTGCGAGATCGACCCCGTCAAGCTGAAGGAGTCGGAGAACCTGGACACTAACAGGGTGAGTCTGTGTGCTAACTCAATCAGACCACGATCCCATTCTAACATTATTAGATCCTGTCTACTTGTTTGAATTATTAAGTCAACATGTGATCAAAATAGACAATTCTTGTTTTTTATGGAATATTGCAGTGTTTATTCTAAATTACTGAATCATTATCGTGTTAAATTGATTTGTAATCTTGAATCAGCATCTCTTCTCTTCTCTAATGACGAGGGCGGGGCTTTAACCTGTCACTCACATGAGATCAGCCAATAGCAAACCACAACCATCCAATCAATTCCCCAAAGACACAATCCACATGTGTTCTTGTTCCAGAAGCGATTCACTCGATATAGAGGAGAAACGCCCAGTGTAACGCCACTGTCATGACGAGATTCAAGATGCATATCAAGAATCATGACTTTAATACCATAATAATGTGCATTGATGAATCATTAAGAATAAACACTGTAACTCTGATTGCACATATTTGCGTTTCACTTTAACCACGCAAGCTGCTATACTTGTTCCAAGAGAGAATGTCGATTATTAACTGATTATTTTCTCCCAAAAAAGTGGATCTTTTGTAATGATGTTCTCGTCTCGCCAGGAAAACCTGCGCCAGTACGTGGACCGGATCTTCAGCGCCATCACGAGCTCGGGTGTGAGCTGCCCCACGGTCATGTGTGACATCTTCTTCTCCCTGAGGGAGTCTGCGGCCTCACGCTTCCAGGGTACACGCTCACTAACACCAGCTGAGAACGCTCGGCTAACGTTAAACATCATTTCTCAAAACGTCCAGGCCTGCGTTTCCCAGAAGCACCATCAGCTCGGGAAACTGCGTTATTAAACATTCTTGGTTATGTGGACGTTAAGAAAACATTTCATTCAATCAAACGTTTTGAGCGAACGTCCAATTAAAACGTTTCAGAAAAATATTCCATGAACGATGAATAAATAATGTTTTTGAGAACGTTAAAGGTCGGATAGCTCTGAGCTGGGCAATGACACATTTACAATCAATAGAAAGAGTTTCTCTTTGAAGGAGTGAACAAAACCCGATCTCTTCCTGTGACTCGGATGTGATTGGCCAAAGAAGTCCCAGATCTCGTTTGCTTCATTTCATGCCCGGTGAAAAGATTACGCGATTGTTTCGATAGTCACTGCGTCAGATTATTGTGTCTTGGACAAGAAACATGTCACACACACATACACACACACTGACAGTGCAAACACGAGTGAGTGCGCAAGACTGTCCCACGTCTAAAACAGCAGAGCGGTATTCAAGGCTAAGCGTATCCCATCATGCATTAGGGTCCAGGTGATCGTGTGCCCCGAAACCGCATATCAAATTGTTAAAGTGTCTTTGTACAACTGCTTTTATCACTTAATTAAAGCACCATTTTTAATGTGTCGTGTGTCACATGACCAGACATTTAGAAGCTTGCTTAAAGTATTGCAATTCTAAACAAAGCTCAGTAAACACGTGCATTTTTGAGTAACACTTCACAATAAGGTTCATTAGTTAACATGAACTCCACCTATACAGCATTTATTAATCTTTATGTTAAATTTAAACATTAATACATTTTTCAGACTGTGAACTAACATGATCAAACATGAACAGCTGGATTATTATTAACTGGATTTTAAATAATGAACCTTATTGTAAAGTGTTGCCCATTTTTGCAACACTATCAGGTGATCAAACGTCCTACACACACTTCGTCGTCACGCCTACATGAACCTAATACAGGAAATACATCATGTAAGTACACAAGGGGTCAAGTGCAAAGACCGCTAGTGTGTGTGTGTTTTGGTTTCTCCTGTGTTCCTCTGTCTGGGTTACAGCGCCACCTTCAGGCCACACTGCAGAGAGCAATGAGCTAATGCTCTTCCAGTCATCTGGTTTAATAATGTTCCCAAAACATTGAACTCAGTGAATGTTTCATTTGGATGTTCATCTGACGTTCTTTAAATGTAACGCCGTGTTTCGGAACATTCAGAGAACATTCAAATGTAACGTTTCCATAACGTTTGAAGGATGGAATGTTCCCTTACGTTCATATAACCAGGATTTACACTCTAAACACATTATTAAAAGAACATCAGAACATTCAGAAGGAACATTAATATAATGTTTGCAGAATTATAAAATGGAATGTTCCCTTAATTAATATTCTCATTTAAACATAAAAAAATGTTTGTGTGTGTGTAGAAAAAAATAAAAAAAAATGTGTGTGTGTGTGTGTCCTCAGTGGACCCGGATGTTCGCTACACGGCCGTCAGTAGCTTCATCTTCCTCCGCTTCTTCGCTCCGGCGATCCTGTCCCCGAGCCTCTTCCACCTGCGACCTCATCACCCGGTGTGTGTATAACACACTCCACACACACACACACTCTGTTCAGCTCATCTGATGCTTCATTCTGATCCGTTCTGTCTCTTGTTGTGTGTGTAAAGGATCCCTGCACGTCTCGGACGCTGACGCTCATTTCCAAAACCATCCAAACTCTGGGAAGCCTGGCCAAGTCCAAATCTGTAAGTGTGTTCTCAACAGTTACTCATATTTACCCATGATCCTACAGTGCTGCATCATCGACAGTATGATGTATGAGTCATTAGAGCATGAAGACAGTGTTTCTACAGTGAAATACTGAACAGGACTGTAAGAGAAGCTGGATCGTTCATTGTGTGTGTGTGTGTGTGTGTGTGTGTGTCGGCATTTTCATTAGTTTGTGTTTTTTTCAATATTTCTAAATAAATGTAACAAATATATTTTTCTTTCAGTTTTACCTCTAATAATTGTATATGTGCTTTTTGTTAGTTTTTTGTTTTTGAATATTTCTATATATATTTAATGAATACATTTTTCTTTCAGTTTTAGTAATTTTGTGATATGCTTTATTAGTTTTTTACAGCGTTAATGAAAAACAAAATGTTTTAGTTTTAGTCATTTTAATATTTAAAACTTTTTTTCTTCATGGATATCATTTTTCCATGCAATATTATATTTGGTCTAATTTCAGCTTGAATTCAATTAGCGAAAATATATATTTTTAACAGTTTTAGTTAAAAATAACTCATACTATTATTTTTAATAAAAAACAAGGAATGCCACAGCATAACAAGGTTTGTGTTTTCCACACAAAAAAATACATATATAGAGAAAAACATTTAGGTAGATGTTAAAATGTAATGCTCTTTAACTGGTAGTGTATATGACGTAAACCCTGATATTCTGAATAACGGGACGTGATCTGGTGCGTCATAATGTCCTCAAACCGTTAGCACTGAAACATTATTTACACATCGTTCATGGAGCGTTTTCCCTCTGAAACGTTTCAGTTGGACTTTAATCGTTTTTTAAATGTAACTTGTTTCAGAGAACATTTAAAAGTAACATTCCATAATGTTTGAAGAATGGAATGTCCCCTCAACGATGTCATAACCAAGAAGAAACATTTTTAAACTTGATGTGGAGATTTAGTGCTTGTCTTCTCGTTACAGGCCAATTTCAAAGAGTCCTACATGGCCGCATTCTACGACTACTTCAATGAACAGAAGTACGCTGATGCGGTGAAGAACGTGAGTCTCCAACATCACACAGGCAAACCAAAAATGATGCGTCACACATGCTCACACATGCTTCCTCTCTGTCACAGTTCCTGGATCTGATATCGTCCTCGGCTCGGTGGGATCAGAAGAGCATCGAGACGCCCATCATGCTGAAGGAAGGGTGAGAGATGCTCACGGTCCAATCACACGGCTCGTAGGGTGTCACATGACACAGAGGCTTTATCAGTGTGTGTGTGTGTTTGTGTTTCTCTGCTGGACGCAGGAGCGTTAAACTCGTTATTAAGAGTTTTGACGCCAAGGGCTCTGGCAGGTAAGACTCACCTGTGTTGGATGCCATTGTGACCTTTGACCTCGTGACCCTCATCATGACCTCCCCAGTATCTGAGGCTGATCTAGATGATCCAAATCTGTGTTCTAGTCGTGATGTTCCTGCTGGACTCTCCCTCATATTAGAGTTGGGTTTAACTTGACATTGTACAGTCGGATTTAGATCTCTCAATTTAATAATAATACTAACACTAATAATAAACAAATGATCAGAAATGTATTTTTTAGGACATAATCACTCTTTTTCTTCTATGTTGTAATTGTAACCGTTATAAAGCTCAGTTGTGCCGCATGTTGTTTGATAAAGACATTTTGATTTCATAAAAAAAATTTCATAGAATTTTTTTTTTATTATTAATATTCAAGCATCACAAACAATGGCAGACAGCGACCAAGGCTGCAGTTGTTGATGTAAACATGCCTAAAGTACCGAATCTCAGGAACCGCACCGGTTATAATGTGAATGGTCCCCAAGCCAGCTCTCCTCCGTGACACACACACACACCCGACACAGGGCTGCTTAAAAACAGCTTTAAGGTAAACGCTGCTAGCGACCAATAAACGCTGCGCTTTCCTCTCAAGAAACAGCACACATCAAACAGGAGTTCGGAATCGGAGAAGATTTACACCTCAAAGAAGGCGGAGCCTCAGGGCCACACCCACCTATGACATCATCAGCACACTGACCAATGGGAGCTCAGAGGTGTTTAGCGGTTCAAGCGAACTTCGCAATGTTTCAAACTGCCCAAGGGAACTTCCTTTTGGCCTGATTTAGTTCGCAATGACGTCACAGCGGTTCGTTCGAGTGTATCGAGGCCTTGAGTGACACACACACACACACATGTTTAGAGAGCAGATGATGGATTGATGAACCCAGACGAAGAATGAGACTGATCAGATGTTGCACCTTCAGAGAACATGTGACTGAACTTTTTATTCGTTTATCTATGCAAACGTGAGCGTGAGTGTGTGTGTGTGTGTGTGATCGAGACTGGAGGGAGTTTGAGTTTCTGAAGTGTGTTTCTGTTCTTCCAGGTTCATGATCAAGCGAGCTCAAGGGCGAAACCGCTTCGGTCTGAAGAACTTCAAGAAGAGATGGTTCCGGCTCACCAACCACGAGTTCACCTACCATAAAACCAAAGGTAACGTCAAAGGTTCGTCCTGAACTCTCACTACAGGTGTGTGAGGATCATCTGTGTGTGTGTGTGTGTGTGATCATCATCATCAGTATCTCAATAACGGGCCATCACACTGTGACATGATGTGATGCATTATTAAAAGAAAACAATAAATAATCAATTCCTCAATATATGAAGAGTTCAGATGCAAAAGCCTCTAAATGCCATTTGAAATTTTCTTCTTTAATGATGATTTTTATCAAACTTGTATATTTAAGTTCAGTAATTTCACTTAAATGACAATTAATAGGTAATCATCATTGCCATTTAAGTGAAATTACTGAACTTAAATATACAAGCTTGATAAAAATGATCATTCTAGAAGAAAATTTCAAATGGCACTTAGAGGCTTTTGCATCTGAACTCTTCATTTCTTTTTCATAATGATGCATTTTCAAGAAGGTGCAGAAATAATGGCAAATATTACAGATTTTTGATGAATCATACAGTACAGATCAAACATTTTAAAGAAATTGACACTTTTATTCATCAAAAGTGACAGTAAAGGCATTTATAATGTTACAAAAGATTCGGTTTTAAATAAATGCAACATTATATGTACGTTTTGAATATTATTGAATATTTGCTACTGTTCAAAAGTTTTATTCATCAAGGATGCATTAAATCAATCAAATAGTGTTACAGAAGATTATATTTCAAAAAAAATGCTGTTCTTTTGAACTTTCTATTCATCAAAGAATCCTGAAAAACAAAATTTATCAGTTTTTTCAACACTGATAATAATCAATAATTATTATTAATATTATTATTATATTATTATATAATATTATATTATTATATATATTATTATTATTATTATTATTATTAATTATTATTATTATTAATAATAATAATAATAAATGTGTCGATCATCAGATCCTCATATTAGAGTGATTTCTGAAGGGTCATGAGTAATGATGATCACAGGATATGAATAAATACTACTTACTTAATAAGAAATATTATTTAAATGACACTTTTCTATATATTCACATAGAGAACAGCTGTTTTACTCATTTTTGCTGTATTTTTGATCACATAAACACAGCCTAATCCTAACGTTATGAAATATAGAATGTATAGAATTAAATTGATTATATTAATTCAAATGTTTTTGTTGACCGTTGTTGTGAAAACAGGCAAAAACTGAAGACACGCGCTGATGATTTACTCTGTTTATACTTGCATCCGCCCAGTCCGGTGTGTGTAGGTCACTGATGAGTGTGTGTGATCTCCACTGTTGATATGTGTGTGTGTCCAGGAGAGGGCGCTCTCTGCAGCATCCCTATAGAAAACATCCTGGCTGTGGAGAGACTCGAGGAAGAGTCCTTCAAGATGAAGAACGTAAGAGGAACTCTTTCACAGTCACATTTGATGCATGTTTATCTGTTTCTACACACAGTCAAACCAAACATTACTCACACACCAGATATAACTTGTGATACTTTTTTATATTCTGCTCATGTTTATCACCATTATAGCCAATAAACTGAGATGAAGAGAGACATGTTGAATAAAGTTTGCCTGTGTATGTTGTTGTCCCTGCAGATGTTCCAGGTCATCCAGCCAGAGAGGGCGCTCTACATCCAGGCTAATAACTGCGTTGAGGCTCGCGACTGGATCGACATCTTGACCAAAGTCAGTCAGTGTAACCGCAAGCGCTTGAGCACGTTCCACCCGTCGGCGTTCCTCAACGGACACTGGCTGTGCTGCAAGCTCTCGGCGGACGCGGCGCCCGGCTGCACGCCCTGCACGGGGTGAGTCCCCACCCATAACCGCTAGTGTCGCGGAGCCGGCGTGTCACGAGTGCGCGTGTTGTCATAGACTCGGACGCGGTGCGCTCTTAGTGCTCATGAATTCGGTAAATAAATATAAAGAACATTTATTATAAGGGTTTCTGTTATTTTTCACACAAATTCTGTATTGTTGTTTTTTCTGGTAATCAAATGAAGACGTAAAACATTAATTTAATTTCTTTTAATACTATCAAATTAAACGTTTTGTCACACGACGTCCTGCGTAATGAGCTTTACTGTTAAAAATAAAACATGGAAGAAGAAGAATTGTGATTATTCCCTCAAACAAAGATTTGATGATAATTTATTTGTATTAGTGGTATATTATCATTACATTGAGACTCAACTTATCTAAATTCTGCTGTATAACAGTAATATATTTAAGTTAAACTGAACTTTATTTTGACCTTTGAGTTTCCGTGTGTTTATAATGAAGCGGTTCTGTGCTCGCGCAGCGACTCTCAGAGCGGCTCTGGAGATGAAGTTCATGCATCCGTGTCCTCATATGGGCAAAAAACAGCGCGAGCGTCACAGAGTGTGTGTGTGTGTGTGTGTGTCTGTGTGTGTGTGTGAGGTGAATGAGATTGCGCATCGTGTGCACCTTTCATTCACACAGAGCATACAGATTCATATTTAACCCTCTGATGGTCTTCCTTTATGAGTCACGTCCTAGGACTTCCCGGTCAGAAGTGACCGGAGGCCTAAAAATTAAATTTCCTCCATCCCAGTAAAACCAATGCAATTTTTTTTGTTCTATAATATTCATTCTTATATATATATATATATGAAGAGTTCAGATGCAAAAGCCTCTAAGTGCCATTTGAAATTTTCTTCTAGAATGATCATTTTTATCAAGATTTCACTTAAATGGCAATGATAATTACCTATTAATTGTTATTTAAGTGAAATTACTGAACTTAAATATACAAGTTTGATAAAAATCATCATTAAAGAAGAAAATTTCAAATGGCATTTAGAGGCTTTTGCATCTGAACTCTTCATATATATATATATATATTAGTTCTTTAAAAGAAATTATTAATGCAGTATTTTTATTTAATATATAGTCTAGGCCTTCAGAAAATAAAAAAAATTTTTTGAAGAAAATTAGCGCCATCTGGTTACAGTATAGAGAAAAGGCGTAGAATCATGGTGTGACCACTAGATGGCATGTACAGCTCTCTATGGAGAGGCATGTGAATTCCCCAGATGTTTATGAACACTTTTTTTGTGGATTTGAATATATAATTGAAACAATCTCAAAAACTATTTCTTGTTAAAAAATTGTTAAAAATAAATAAATAAATAAATTGTGAATTTTTGTGTTTTTGTCAATTTCCCTTTCATTTCCTATGGGGGTCATTTTTGACCAAAGACTAAAATCGTGACTAATTTTTTTACGACCACTCAGCATGCTCGGATCATGACCTCAATTTTTTTTTTGTATTCACATACCAAATGCCAAAAAAGTCACCAAGTAAAGTAATAATTCAAAACAGAAAATTATTCGGTCAGAAGTGACCGAGGACCATCAAAGGGTTAAATAGTCTTTTGGGAATATAATTTTGCCCCAAAACAAGAGGTATAGGGGAAACACTGTTATAATAAACTTTATTTTCTATAGCTAAGTTACACCTCAAAGCACTTCACTATAACATGTGTGTGTTGTGTCGCTCAGGGGTCTGCCCGCCAACATCCAGCTGGACGTGGATGGAGACCGAGAGACTGAGAGGATCTACTCGCTCTACAGCACATACATGTCCAAACTGGTGAAGATGCAGGGTGAGTGTGTGTGTGTGTGTGTGTGTGTGAGAAAGAGAGAGAGAGCGCATTACATACACACTACCTGTTAAAAGTTTTGGATCGGTGAGATTTTTTGTGTTTTAAAAGAAGCCTCTTCTGCTCACCAACGCTGCATTTATTTGATCAAAAACACTGTAAAACAGTGAAATATTATTATAATGTAAATCATCTGTTGTCTGTGTGAATATACAGTAAAGTGTAATTTATTCCTGTGATCAAAGCTGAATTTATCATCATTACTCCAGTCTTCAGTGTCACATGACCCTTCACAAATCACTCTAATATGAGGATCTGATGATCAAGAAACAGTTATGATTATTATCAGTGTTGAACACAGTTATTTACATTTTATTTCATGATTTTTTGATGAATAGAAAGTTCAAAAGAACAGCATTTATGTGAAGTAGAAAGCATGTGTAAAATTAATATAATTTATTTTACTTCCTATTCATCAAGTCACACGGGTGTGTGTGCCAATCGTATGGGTCAAAATTATCGATTATTGATTTTTCTTTTATGCCAAAACTCATTAGGATATTATAAGTAAAGATCATGATCCATGGAGATATTTTGTGCACTTCCGACTGTTGATATATAAAACATTTATTTTTGTGAGTGAATGCAGTAAATCAACATTACAGGGGATTTTCTCAATGTTTTGAGTTTTTTGCAGCCTCGCCCTCGAATAGTCGTATCTCAGCCAGATCATAATAATCATACATCAATGGAAAGCGCATTAATTAAACTTTCAATTTTCAATTAGAAATTGAGCCATGTGACTGGTTTTGTGGTCCAGGATCTCGTATTAGAGTGATTTCTGAAGGGTCGACTGGAGTAAAGATGATAAATTCAGCTTTGATCACAGGAATAAATTACACTTTGTTATTTTAAATTGTCCTAATATTTAAAAAGATTACGTTTTTTTTTATTTATATTTCTAATCAAATAAATGCAGTCTTGGTGAGCAGAAGAGATTTCTTTTAAAATCATTGAAAAAGTTTGTGACTGGTAGTGCATGTTGGACTCCAGCAATCGACCCTCGACCCTGCTGTTGCGAGCGTCCTGTAACGCCAGTCTTCTCTCCCCCAGAGGCGTGCGGCAGTAAGTCGGTGTACGACGGGCCTGAGCAGGAGGAGTACTCCACGTTCGTGATCGACGACCCGCAGGAGACGTATAAAACGCTGCGGCTCGTCATCTCGGCCGTGCAGACGCTGGAGCAGCAGCACACGCAGTACAAGCGCGACAAGTTCAGGAAGACCAAGTACGGCAGCCAGTAAGTGTCACGCTTCACACAATCACAGCTTACAGGAAGACAGGATGTTTATCTTTATTTTTTATTTTTTTATGTGAAACTCCTGCAAAAGTTCATTTATTTCAGTAATTCAGCTTAAAACAGTCCCTCCAGAAAAACGCGATTATGCGATCGCTGAATTCAATTATTATTATTATTACTAACCTTATTATTAATTTTATTATAGACCTATTCTTTCATACTTAATTAAATTATTTTTAATTTCTTTTTCTTTTTTTTCTTTTTTGGTTTAATTGTATATCCATAATTGTATATGTCTGTATATATATATATTAGGGATGCAACGGTACACGGTAAAATCCCGGACCGTTCGGTCAGCCCTGCACGGGACAATCTACCCTCGTGTCCCGCGGGACTTCGGTTTTGCAATAGAGTTCGTGCTGATCCTTTTCCCGTATTTTCCGCACTATAAGGTGCACTTAAAAGCCTTTAATCTTCTCAAAAAACGACAGTGTGCCTTATAATCCGGATCGCCTTATGGAATTAGTTAACAACGCTCCGCGTTATTAAATTCGCCCGCGAACTCGCGCTCGTGTCCAGCATATGCCCGCTTTGTCACACGGCGCTGCTCGCGCGTCACAGATGTTCAAAAAACCGCTCCCCGTTCACAGTACCGGGTCGTCTAATTCAAAACAGCGAGCCGTTGCTGCAGCGAGCCGCCGCACATTGAATATATGAGTCAGGCTGCGAATGTACGTTGTGCCCGCCCCAGCGCGCTCACGCTTACTAAATAAACGCCTCACCAGGCTCCGGCTCCGCGCACTCGCTACATTCCCAGCACATCTAGTGGATGCATAACGCAAACCCAGTCAAACGTTTGACTGCAGTTTTGCACAAGAATCTCTCAATAGTGGATGAGTAAATAACATTGCACTTTGTATCCTGAATGAAGTTTTTTTTTAATTATATTATTTTGCTCGGCTCTTTTTATTCAAACCACAAGCTAATTTATGTTTGTTAAAGGTAAAAGTGCACTTTTTCTTTCACATTGATCACTTTATATACCAGTTATCAAGGTTTGGAATTGGGATCTACTTGAATATTCTAAAGTGTGTTTGTTTACATTTTGTATTTTATAAGTGGTAGTTGAAGAGGTTGTATTACTTAGTTCTGTTCAGTACAGACTAGAGTGTTAATTTATTTCATACACATTGATGTTCTTCCTACTGTGACATTATGTTAATGCATATAAGAAAAATAAAACATATTTTTGGGATGAAATAGCAGTCTTTTTCTGCACAAAACATGTACCGAAACCGAACCGAGACCGTGGCCCAAAAACCGAGGTACGGACCGTACCGTGGGCTATCTGTACCGTTGCACCCCTAATATATATACATTGTCTTTTTGTATACTTCTAGTTTTATGACTGTTGTATTGCTGTAATTTTTAACTCTTTTTTTTTTCTAGTTAAGAGCCTAATAACATCTGGCAAAGGGACTACCAATGAAAACTAGCCTTTGGGCTAATTTGGGTACATTTACATTTAAGAATGTTTATTAATGTACACTGTACCTTTTCTAAATAAATAAATAAAATAAATAAATGCAAAATCAGCCAAAGTCCGCATATTTATGCGGGGGCCGCATTTTTTCAAATACGCCGCACTTTCGCTTGCATAAATTGCCTATTTCCGTGCAAAATATGCGGGGTTTGCATAATTTCATAATCCTCGCATTTTCGTTGCAAAAAAAGTCACGTGTATCTTAGCAGAAAGTTGAAAAATGTTGCGTTTGCTTCACACGAGAGCAGCCATTTCCCCCTGTTTCCATGGGAACGTTATGAAGTGACGCAATTACGCGACGCCGGACAGACTCACGGAGACGATTGACATCTCACAAATCGAACTCGTGTATAACTGTCTGTCACACGTTCTACCGTCACATCGTTACTTAATAAACAACATAAGATAAAAGAAGTAGCATCAAACAGAAATGACCCGCACACATGGGGTGTTCGAGGCGCACATACAACACTGCAGAGAGTTCTTAAAGGGGCCACACCTTATTTACACTCGTTACAGTCTGAAATAAAACAAGATGAGAAATTAAATATTCCCAGCACTTTCTATGATGTAGTATGCTTGCTTATCAAAGGAAGTAATAAGAAATGACTCTTACATTAGCCTAGTGAGAACAGGATGTTGGGGGAATCACTTTTTTCTCTTTTTCATCAAACCGCAATTTTTGCAAGTTCCTGCAATTTCATCGCATAAAATTGCATAAATATCCTGCATATTCCATCGCATTTTTAAAGAAAACGGGCCGCGTAATCAATCAATTTTTGCCCGCAACAATCACAAAAAAACTCCGTGTTTTTCTGGAAGGACTGAATACAATTATGGTAAATGTTATACATAAATCGCACATTTTTTCACAAATTTTTGGAAATTACCACCACAAAATCAGTCATTTTGATCGCAAAAATCACCAAAAAAAAAATCATGAAATCCTGGAGGAACTGTTAAAAGGTGGAACTAATACATTATATAGACTCGTGAGATTTTTCAAGCCTTTATTTGTTATCATTTTGATGATTATGGCTTTTCACAATATTCTAATTTTGACTTTGGGCATTTCATAAGCTGTAATCATCGACATTATAATAACAAGGCTTGAAATATCTCACTTTGAGTCTATATAATATATCAGTTTCACCTTTAAGTTGAATTACTGAAATAAATGAACTTTTGCACCATATCACGTTGATCAACATTCCGACTTCCCTTTTCCATCACGTTTGTGTTTACAGGGAACATCCAATCGGTGACCAGAGCTTCCAGTGCTACGTCCGCCAGCAGTCAGAAAGCTCCACCTACTCCATCTGACCACGCCCACCGTCTCCGTGGCGACAGTTGTGACGGACAGAACGGCGGCCGCAGACGAAAGCTAGAACTCTGGTGTTTATATACGAGAACCGGACGCCGGCTTCCTCTGGACATGCGTCACGCGCGACTGGACGATGTAGCTCCGCCTCACGCGCGCGTTTTAACATTTTATGAAGGCGATGACACGTCCTCTAGTTGTGGATGCTTTTATAACGGTCTTCGGGACCACAATCCTTTGCGTTCACAGGGTGTTTTTAACTGGTGTAACTAGCTGATGGGAAATATCGTGCTCTGTCTCTGCCCGTTCAGACGTGTCCAGTATTGATTCCCCTTTCGCTAGCAGCTGAAGAAGTGCTGCATTGTGGGAAGCGTGTGTGTCGGAGCATGCCAGACGTCCTCATCCCAGCATGTGACACGGTTTGTGGGTCCAGTTGTGTGTGTGTTCAGCATCACATGAACGTCTCCGCTGGATATTTGTGTTTTTATACTTCCTGTTGTGTGTCACGTCCTGTAGGAACGTGTTTTAAATTCACTGTGTGTGTGTGTGTGTGTGCAACTGAAGCGAGCACGCATGAGTGTGTTTTACTGATTAATAATGAATAATGACTCAAACTATTGATATGGATGTGAATATTTTGATGCATTTGGTAAAAACCGGTGTCACGTGTCCTGGTCATATTTCACCCTTAAATCAAAAGAATATATATAAATATTATAGACATATACATTATAAGATGAATAGCTTGTATTCCTCATTTGCAACTTTAGATAAAAGTGTCTGCTAAATGAACAAAATGGAAATGTGTGTGTGTAAATATATATATATATATATATTTTTATATTTATTTATATATGTATACACATATTTTAATATTTACATAATTAGTAAAGAAACTCAAAGCCATTTTCTGGCATTCTGACTATTTTGAAGACAATTAAACGCATTCAAATTCACATTATTCAAATATTTTTCACAGTAGTTTAACAAAATAGCAATGCTTTATTTTCTGTACGGGGAAATCATTTCTCATTTTCTTATGATTTGGGGTGAAATATGCGCTGGAGATTCAGGCTTCTGTGTCCGCAGACGTTAGTGTAGAGTTGTATTTTTGCTCACACTCGAGTTATTGTGTTTCTGTACATCCTTCAGTCACGCATGTTTCAGTAATTCTGCATTTCAGACCCCAAATTAATTGCTATTTATTTTTATATCACAGAATAATGCTTTTGTGAAGAGAAAAAACCCTGAAAATAATCCAAACGCACAGAATGAAGTATGCAATAATGTCACTTATGAGCAATTCTGGAGTGAGTGTGTGTGTGTGTGTGATGTGTGCTCGTGTGTACAGACCAACTGAGTAAACCAGACACACATTTCTTTATTCCAAATGAAGGCAATAGCAAAGAGATCCGTGTCCGAGTCTTTATTCTCAAATCCGGGTTGCTTCCCAAAGATATAAAAGGAGTAGTTCACTTCTAAAAAACTTTTGCTGATAATTTACTCGCCCCCGTGTCATCCAAGATGTCCATGTCTTTCTTTCCTCAGTCGAAAAGAAATGAAGGTTTTTGATGAAAACATTCCAGGATTTTCTCCATATAATGGACTTCAATGGGGACCAAACGGTTCAAGGTCCAAAAGACAGTTTCAGTGCAAACTGTTCAAAGGGCTTTAAACGATTCCAGACGATGAATAAGGGTCTTATCAAGCGAATCGATCGCTCATTTAATAAATAAATAACAATGTTTAAGTTTTATAAGCTCAAATGCTCGCCTTGCTCTGTTATGTGATGCACGTTCGTGACTCTCCTGTTCAAAATGAACGAATCTTTTTCCGAGTCATTTGGTTCATAAAAAGAATATATATTTACCATATTTGGTAAATAAAAAGCGCTGCTTTTCTTTTTAACTGGAGAAATTAAGAGGTTAAATTCATTATGTATCAAAAGCAAAATCAGCTTAAATTCCTCTTACATAATTTCCTTTTATCTTCACACCCGCGTGCCCGCGCACATTCACCAGCTGAGGGCTGCTAGTTGACTCACGTTAACCCATGCTGCTCAGTCATGAGTGCGCACGCCGACTCGAGCTAGAGGACCGTGAACGGGAGGAACCGAGTGTTTGGGTTCGGATCAGAACCGGAAGTGTGTGTGGTTGGAGTGAGTGGGTCTTTATCCGCCAGAAAGCGCGAGCATGAGGATCCTGATCGGCCTCGCGTTTCTGCTCCTGCGCGCTCAACTCTCCGAGTCACAGCGATGTGAGTAAAACAGCGAACACACACACACACACACACACACAGATCTGTTTAACACGCGTTTAATGTCACACAGGGATTAAAAGTGTTGTTAGCAGCAGCAACCGTTACTTCCACGAGCCGTTGTTGTTTACTTTCACTTAACTTTGCAATGTTTACCTTTTACCTCAGATTACACCACAACATTACAGTTACTTTAGTTAATGTGAACTGCGGTGATTTGATGTTTGTCATTTAAAAAAAAAAATCAAAATGACAAAGATTCCGAGTCAGATCTCTTATTGTGTTTTTATGTCATAAACAATAACTGGTACTACGGAGGAAACTATGTGGTTACCATAGTAATTTTGGTAACGCATGACGTGAATATGATGACCGTGTTTACTTGTGAGTCACGCAGTGTTACAATGTTGCATTGTTTACAAAAGTAACTGTAACAGTGCTTCCAAAACGAACTATTTACAACGTAATATTGTTGCAGTGTTTACAAAAGTAACTGTTTGAGTTTTGGCAACATTATCAGTATTTAGGAAGTAAAAATGTTGCAGCATTTATAAAAGTCACAATGTTTTGTCAAAATGAACAGCATTTACAAAAGTAACTGCTAATATTAATATACAAAGTGAGAATGTAACTAATCCTAAACGACTTAAAAAGTATCTCTAGCCGTGTTTACAAAAGTAACTGTTTTCCCAAAATTATCAATATGTAGCCCTTTACTCAATTAAATCACAATGTCGACAAGATTAACAGTGTTTACAAGAGTAACTGTAACAATGTTTCCGAAATCAACTGTATTTACAAAGTAAGAATGTAACAGTGTTTACAAGAGTAACGTATAATGTGGACACGATTAACAGTAACTGTGACATCATTCTGAGATGTAAGCAGTTTGATCCAAAGCCGTTACTGTGAACACCGATTAAATCATTGGTCTTCTTTAAACTAGTGTGTTTTCTAACAATCTTTATTCCAAAAAAACATAATTTCCCGTTGAAAGAGTGTCAGCCGGAATAAACCCTCGACCGATGAAGGATTTACTGGGGTTAAAGCGGACATCCAGGAAGTCATGCTGAAGATAACAATAATACACTTTATTTTCTAAAGCGCCTTCATCTCAAATACAACTATATAAAAGAAAAGCATTCATAAAACAGAAGTACATTTAAATATCAGACATCTTATCAAAACAAATCCATAATGAAATGGTTTAGAAATGATCGGCTGATAATGAATCTGGGTCAGTCAGACTGAAGCTTTAGCTCGTGTTTATTACAGGAATTATGAACATGATCTGTTTTGAGGACGTATCGGTCACCCTGGACCATTACTGGTTTGTTATGATTTGACAATATTTGTCTGAGACGCAGCTATTAGAAGATCTGGAGTCTGAGAGTGAGGAAAATCCCCTTTAAAATTGTGCATTTATTTACAAAAATAAATATTTGATACATTGATGATAGGATATTTACTAAATATCTTCATTGGAACAAGATCTTAATATCCTAATTTTTTGTTTGTTTGGCATATAAACCCATATAATCTACTGAGGGCTATTTCTATCGTGCAAAAGTTGTAATTATGATGATTATGGCTTATGGAAACCCCCAATTCAAAATTAGAATTAGAATATTACATGAAATCAATAAAAAAGGATTTTAAATACAGAAATATCGGCCCTCTGAAAATATATATATATATATATATGAAGAGTTCAGATGCAAAAGCCTCTAAGTGCCGTTGGAAATTTTCTTCTAAAATGATCATTTTTATCAAGCTTATATATTTAAGTTCAGTGATTTCACTTAAATGACAATTAATCGGTAATCCTCATTGCAATTCACTGAACTTAAATATACAAGCTTGATAAAAATGATCATTCTAGAAGAAAATTTCCAATGGCATTTAGAGGCTTTTGCATCTGAGCTCTTCATATATACTATTAGTGTCACCTTTTATTTTGAAAGACTGAAATACACAAACGTTTGTCCCATCAGTGAATGTGTGTGTGCTTGGTGTGCAGTTGTGGCTGCGCGTCAGGCGTCGGAGTTCCTGCGGCGGCACCGGCGGGCGAACACACTCTTCGAGGAGAGCAAGAAGGGGAACCTGGAGCGCGAGTGTGTGGAGGAGCTGTGCAACAAAGAGGAGGCGCGCGAGATCTTCGAGAACAATCTGGAGACGGTGTGTGTGTGTGTGTGTGTGTGTGTGATGCTCACGCTGTTGACTTCGACATTGACCCGTACTCGTGTGTGTGTGTGTGTGTGTGTGAGAGTCCATCAGCTTTATTTATACAGCGCTCTACAACACACAGCAGCTTTACTGAGATGACACAATGTGCTATATAAAGAAAAGTTGATTGATTGTGATGCTTCATCTGTGTTGTAATAATGTTGTTAATTTAGTTAACGGTGATGTCATCGTCATATAATGCAGGAGATCAATAATATTGTTGAATATTAAACTGAGAAGCTTTTTTCTGTGTGTTTTGTGTGAATAATCTCATGTTCTTTTCATCTTCCAGGAATATTTCTACCCCAAGTACGTCGGTAAGTCGCCCTCGCTGTCCTTGCGCAAATAAACACTAGGGTCTGTGATGTCATCAGGCTCCGCCCCCGAGCGAACGAGAGTCACAAACACATTATGGAGACTAAAGTTACACTCCACACTACCAGTGCATGTGTTGAATAATAATGAAGTGCTCGTGTGCAGAAAATCTAACATGATCAAACAATGAACAGCTGGATTATTATTAGCAGTAACAAATATATTGCTCATGGATATAGTTAATATGTTCACTAATCAACCTTATTGTATAGTGTTACCATTAAAGTAATGTTTAAATATGCAAATGAGGCGTTGTCTAATTAAACATGCACTAATTTGCATACATTTAGAGTGAATAAAGGCAGGTTCAGGAACTCTTCTCATGTGTGTGTGTGTGTGTGTGTTCAGTGTGTCTGGGATCTCATCGCGTCGGGATCAGTAACCCTCACTCGGGAAGGCCCAGCATCCCCCAGGACCTGCGCACCTGTGTCCAAGGTGACCCGACGCTCGCGGACACTCGTGATGATGATGATGATGATGATGAAGATGATGATGTTTGAGATGTGTGTGTGTTTCAGAGATCAGTAACCAGTGTCTGCCGCTGCCGTGTTATAAGGAGGGTTACGAGCGCTGTGTGGACGGGCAGGGCAAATACACGTGTGTGTGTAAACCGGGCTGGAGGGGTCAGAACTGTGACCAGGGTGAGTGTGTGTGTGTGTGTGTGTGAGGCCAGCGCTGTCTGGGTAACTGCACACTGTTGGGTAACTGCACCACCTACTGGTTAGTGTGAGTAGTGTTCTTAAGAAATATAATATCTAATTAACATGTGACAGATATTAATGAGTGTGAAGACCCAGAATTCCCTGCGGGCTGCAGCCAAACGTGCCACAACCTCCCCGGGAGCTTCAGCTGCAGCTGTGAGAAGGGCTTCTACACACACGACAACATCCACTGCAACGGTGAGAACACGACACAGGTCAAAGGTCACAGGTCAGCACTGCACCTGTCAAAGGTCTGCGGTCAAAGGTCAGCCCTTCACAGGTCTGCACTTCAAAGGTCAGCACTGCACAGGTCAGCACTTCAAAGGTCAGCACAGCACAGGTCAGCACTTCAAAGGTCAGGTCACAGGTCAGCACTTCAAAGGTCAGCACAGGTCACAGGTCAGCTCTTCACAGGTCACAACTTCAAAGTTCAGCACTGCACAGGTCAGCACTTCAAAGGTCAGCACAGGTCAGAACTGCACAGGTCAAAGGTCACAGGTCAGCACTTCAAAGGTCAGCACAGGTCACAGGTCAGCACTGCACAGGTCAGCACTTCAAAGGTCAGCACAGCACAGGTCAGTACTTCAAAGGTCAGGTCACAGGTCAGCACTTCAAAGGTCAGCACAGGTCACAGGTCAGCACTTCACAGGTCACAACTTCAAAGTTCAGCACTGCACAGGTCAGCACTTTAAAGGTCAGCACAGGTCAAAGGTCACAGGTCAGCACTTCAAAGGTCAGCACTGCACAGGTCAGCACTTTAAAGGTCAGCACAGGTCAAAGGTCACAGGTCAGCACTTCAAAGGTCAGCACTGCACAGGTCCGCACTTTAAAGGTCACAGGTCAGCACTTTAAAACTCATAGGTCAGCACTTCAAAGGTCAGCACTCCACAGGTCCGCACTTTAAAGGTCACAGGTCATCACTTCAAAGGTCATAGGTTAGCACTTCACAGGGCACGGGTCAGCACAGGTCAAAGGTCGCAGGTGCAGTTCTGTGCTGTGTGCAGTGTGCTGGAGTGTTTGTTGGCGTCTGTCAGACGAGTTTGAGCTCTTCCAGGAATTCTGGGGTTTTCCTGTAAAGGAGGAACATGATTCGGCTCCAGCTGTGAGAACACACACACACACACACACACACACACACGCGAGCGCTGGCAGTCTCACAGGGTCATTATGTAACGGTGTTTTTAAACTGGTAAATCATCAGACGCTGTTTCCCTTCAGCCTGTCAGCTTATCTACAGGACCCACAATGCCGTGCGTGTGTGATCGTGCTGTTTGTGTGTCTATTACTCTGAAATCTGGACAGTGGAATGATGAAAACTCGCTCCTATGAGGTTTAAAACACGTGTGTGTGTGTGTGTGTGTGAGAAGTGATTCGTGAGGCTTTAGGTCAGGTGTGTTTGGATCGTTCAGTGTGTGTGTCGATCATGTGACGCGTTTGACCTGATACCGCAGGGTTAATATCGCTCACTGAAACATGTTTGTTGGTGCAGAGCGAATTGACCTTAATCCTGGTGTGTGTATGTGTGTGTGTGTGTGTGTGTGTGTGTGTGTGTCATTGCAGATATCAATGAGTGTGTCCTGTTTCCCAGTGTGTGTGTGGAACCGTCTCAATGCATCAACGCTCCGGGGACGTTCGAGTGTCGCTGCCCGCTGGGATACCGCTACAACACAACCGTGCGCGAGTGTGTCGGTGAGACGAGACGAGACCATAACACACACACACACACACACATACAACCCTCATCCTTCCCTCGCGAAGCCCTAAAGTTATACTTCATTTATTATGTTTGTCCAGAGAACTTCATGTTGGTTATATTTTTTTCTATTTAATGCAATTTTTTATTTTATTTACCCTTTAAATGACTAGATTTGATCAATAAATAATAAATAAATAGTAATTTTAGCACATTCCTCACATTCTTAGATTCATGCGTAACTCTTTTAATTGAGCTCTAAATATCTTCTATCAGGAGTCTGTGAGCTCTTGTGGAATATAATATTAATAACACATGATATTTCATGCCTCTAGATGGGCTTATATCTCTATATGCAGCATTATTATAGACATTAATAATTCATATTCTAAGAAGATTATTAAACAGCTGCTAATATGAACCCAGCGTGCCTCTGATGTGCTGTGTTCTGGCAGACGTGGACGAGTGTGAGCAGGAGGTGTGTGAAGGCGAGTGTGTGAACAGCGCCGGGAGCTTCTCGTGTCACTGCGACGGGCGTAAGGGAGTGAAGCTGGCGCCGGACGGCCGTGTGTGTGAGGAGATCCCGCAGTGTCTGGATCTGTACGATCACAAACACGAGGAGATCCTGTATCTGGGAGAGCAGTTCTCCGGCGTTCCCGTCATTTACCTGCGCTTCCGTCTGCAGGCCGACGCCAGGTGACACACACACATCATCTCAGCGACACACACACGTGATCTCAGCGAAAAGTGAAATCATAATCAGCTGCCCCTTTAACTCCTGAACATGGCTTCCTCGAGGCTGATCTGTTGAAACGCCTCCTTAAAGGGTTAGTTCACCCAAAAATGAAAATTAAGTCATTAATTACTCACCCCCATGCTGCACCAACCCCGTAAGACCTTCGTTTGTCTTCGGAACACAAATGAAGATATTTTTGATTAAATTTGAGAGCTGTATAACTAATGAGTAATTAATGACTTAATTTTCATTTTTGGGTGAACTAACCCTTTAAAGGGTTACTCCACTTTTTTGGAAATAGGCTAATTTTACGACTCCCCCAGAGTTAAACAGTCCAGGTTTACCGTTTTCGAATCCATTCAGACGATTTTCTGATATTTAGAAGAATATCAGTAACCAGACCGTTTCTGGTCTCATTGACTTCCATAGTATATTTTTTTCCTACTATGGAAGTCAATGAGACCAGAAACGGTCTGGTTACTGATATTCTTCTAAATATCAGAAAATCGTCTGAATGGATTCGAAAACGGTAAAACTGGACTGTGTAACTCTGGGGGAGTTGTAAAAAAAAGTGGAGTATCTCTTTAACCCTTGTGCATCCTTATGGACATTTTTGTCCTTTTCAGTTTTGTTTTTTTGATCACTTTGCCTGTGTTAAAGCTAACTGCAAAAAACTTGGCACAGGTGTGTATTTTTATTGGAATTTTACTATTTCACCGTCATTTTCTTAAAAAAATATTTTTTTGCATTAGGTACAAAAAATACTCCCTCTCAGCACCTTTTGGACAAAAACGTCCCCATTGAAACCCATTAAAACTGCCATTTTTAATCCCCGGTTCAGTTAACTATAAAATTATGCAATCTTTGTTAAGAGGCTTTCATTCTGATGGCAAGGCTTCAAAATTTAATTTTTTACTATTTTTTATCAGATGGTGCCATTTTTTTTTAGTTTGGCCTATAAAACAAATATCGCTTTATTCCTGTTTTCTGCTTCGGCATATTATAGAGCCAACTGGATAAATTATGCAACAATATTTGTGTGGGTGTGTTGGTATGGATGTCAGAGTGTGGTTAGTATGTGTGTTATAAAAAAATATGTGTGTGTGTGTGTGTGTGCGCATGTGTGTGTTTGTAATACTGAGAGAGAAAAACTGCAAATTCATATCCAGTCACTGTGAGCTCCAGTGGGGTTTTGCTGCCACCCGATGGGGAAAATATGTTACTACGCCTAAACAAACTGTTACCAAAAGCTCATTTTTTAAGATATCATCCTCAAATTTGGAACACAACCTATTTAGATTTATGGCTTTGATTTTATTGCAGTTTTGAGCTCAACCTGATTTGAAAAATATATATTTTATATAAAATATTTTTTTATAAATAATTTTCATAAACTTATACCTATATAACTTTTTTTTGGATTTGCTTATTATTATTTTTGTACTTCAGCAATAATCTGCAAAGGGTCTTCTTTAAAATGATACCAAACTTAAGTCTGTGCTCCCAAGCGTCACATTTTTATGACATGGACATTTTTGTCCTCTTTTTACCTATGTGTAACTTGTTTTAATTGATGCACAAGGGTTAAGAGGAAGCACGTCCGGTTCCTCATGAGTGTGTCGTGTTGTCGTTGCTAACGCAGGTTTGCGGCCGAGTTTGACTTCCGCACGTTTGACCCCGAGGGCGTGATCCTGTACGCCGAGTCTTCGCCGGACTCCTGGCTGATGCTGGGTCTGCGGAGCGGCCGCATCGAGGTCCAGTTCAAGAACCAGCACTCCGTCAAGATGACCAGCGGAGGAAAGGCCATCAACGACGGGCAGTGGCACGTGGTGCGTTCAGGACACATCACATCTGATACACACCAGGCACTTCCTATTAGCCCCGTTGTGGATCATCTTGGTTGCAGTTCATTATAATTCCACTGGGGGTGATCACGGGCGAGAGCAGAATGAATGGGAGTCTATGGGGCTAAACGGCTAAAAGTGTCTCTTTCACCTGCTTGTCGTTAAATCAACATCGATTTTATTGTTGATTCCGCACGTTCAATATAGATTATAGGCCAAAAGTCGAATGAACAAGTACTTATGTCCTTTTGATTTCTTACAGGTTAGGCCGTTGTTGGCCGGATCACGCTAGCATTCTGCTATTGTGTGACATCATCACGTTTTTGAACAGATAAGTGAACTTAAAAATGCAGTTTTCAGCTGAGTGTATTATCTTAGCCCTCCCTTTTGAATGCAACTTTCAAATTACTTGACAAAAAATTACATCCTGAGAAAAGTGGATTTCTGGGGGTGAAACCCCATTGACTCCCATTCATTCTGCACTCGACCGCGAGCGCCCCCGCATGGACAGAGAGTGTTACTGCAGCCAGTCCAGAAACCGGAAGTAACCAGCCAGTGCCAATTCTCTTCAATTAGACATTCTCTGATACACACTCGCAACTTCTGTCTCTGAGAGTGTCTTCTGCTCCTCAAAGCTGCGTTCATTAGATCAAAAATCGGTGAAATATTATTGTAACGTCTGGTCGCCCCTAACGAAAGCTCTTGCTCGCTGTAGATCTCGGTGGAGGAGCTGATGGGAAGCGTGAGCGTGAAGATCAGTAAAGAGGCCGTCATGAGCATCAACAGTCCCGAGCGTCTCTTCACACCCGTCAACGACAAGCTGGAGGCCAAGCTGTACATCGCCGGCCTGCCCAACCGCAACGAGAGCCTCATCAAACCGGCAAGTGCTCACTAGCGCCCCTCAGTCGATGCGGTGCAACTACACCTTCAGTCGGTCCGTGCACAAACTTCACTCATCGCAAGTGAACGCGCTACAGGTGTTCAGGGTTTGAAATGATAAGTTATCACTTGTTAACGAATCAGCTGTGGCGGGAAACGCTGGCGAATCACGAGCCGACTTGGCATGTTATTATTATGTTGGGAAGTTTGTGAAAGTCAAATCTGTCCTCATGATGTATTGCACAGGATCTGCTCACTGGAACACACACGTCACCACACCACAGATAACGGCACGCTTGCGCATTTACACTGAACACACAGCGGAGATTAAACAGCATCGGGGAACAGAACAGACTTTGTTATTTTCCAACATCCGACATGTTTTGATGTTCTGTGTTGATCTGTGCCTCTAAAACACATCAGGTGCTCTTCGGTCATTTCTGACCGAAAAAATTTTTGAATTTCTAAAAATCACAGCTTCATCGGGATGTTATGGTGACTTTTATAACATTATTTATGTGAATACATAAAAAAATTGAGGTCATGATCCGAGCATGCTAAGTGGTCGTAAAAAAATAGTCACACTTGTGGTCTTCGGTCAGAAATGACCAACCATAGGAAATGAATGGGAAATTTACAAAAACACAAAATTTCACAAAATTGTATTTATTTATTTATTTATTTTTTACATTTTTTAAAATAAAAAATAGTTTTTGAGATTGTTTCAACTATATATTCAAATCCACCCAAAAAAAAGTGTTCATAAACATCTGGGGAATTCACATGCCTCTCCATAGAGAGCTGTACATGCCATCTAGTGGTCACACCATGATTCTACACTTTTTCTCTATACTGTAACCAGATGGTGCTAATTTTCTTCAAAAAATATTTTCTTTCTGAAGGCCTAGACTATATTAAACTAAAATATTGCATTAATAATTTTTTGAAAAAAATTATATATATATATATATATATATATATATATATATAAATGTATATATTTTTCCATGGCAAAAATAGACAATAATATTGCATATATATTAATAAATTCAATCAAATTGTCTCAAAATACTAAATTACAAAGAATAAATATTATAGAACAAAAATAAATTGCATTGGTTTTACTGGGATGGAGGAAATTTAATTTTTAGGTGTCCGGTCACTTTTGACCGGGAGGATAACAAGTGTTACTCTGAAACGAAGAGCACCTGAGGCTTAAGCTGGATGAAGATTGTGTTTGAATAATAAATTAATGTATGAAATCCACATTTTATTATATATGAAGAGTTCAGATGCAAAAGCCTCTAAATGCCATTTGAAATTTTCTTCTTAAATGATGATTTTTATCAAGCTTGTATATTTAAGTTCAGTAATTTCACTTAAATGACAATTTATAGGTAATTATCATTGCCATTTAAGTGAAATTACTGAACTTAAATATACAAGCTTGATAAAAATGATCATTAAAGAAGAAAATTTCAAATGGCACTTAGAGGCTTTTGCATCTGAACTCTTCATATATATATATATATATATGCTGTCACGTAGTTAATCTGGTCCATTTATTTACTTTTTTGGCTAGTAGAAGTTCTGAATGGCAGGTAACCTAAAACATTAGTAGCCAGATTGTCCGGTGAGCGAAACACCCTGGCGGTGTTGGTGTGTTTTGTGCTGGCGATGTTCATTCTGCTCGTCTGGGTGTGTGTCAGATCAACCCGAGGCTGGACGCCTGCATCCGCGGATGGGATCTGATGAATCAGGGAGCGTCGGGAGTGAAGGAGGTGATCCAGGAGAAGGAGAGCAAGCACTGTTACGTGTTCGTGGAGAAGGGCTCGTTCTTCAGCGGCGGAGGCCTGGCGCTCTTCAACATCGACTACAGTCAGTCTCTCCGTCCTCACACACACACACACACACACACGCTAGCATGAGCACTGCAGAAAGCTCTGTTGGATCCCGCGTATGTCTCTGCACTGCATCAGTCAAGTTACATTTATTTGTATTGTGCTTTATACATCACAGATTGATTCAAAGCAGCTTCACACAGATCAACTGGAAAATGATGCAACAAATACAGTTCATTCTGTTCAATAACGATTACAGTGTGACAAAGTGCATCAGTTATGAAACTAATTCAGTTCAATAACGGTTTCAATGTGGTCAAATTCAATAATTATGAAACAAAAACTGAATTCAGTTCCATGTTGATTCATTTCACTTCAATAACAGTTTCAATGTTGCAGAATTCCATAATTATTAAGCTAATTCAGTGTCACACACACTTGCATGGATAATTGAACTAACGGTGTTTTTGGCGCTGCAGGCGGAGGCGATCAGTGGAGGGTTGACGTCGTGATGAGCGTCCGTCCCTCCAGCAGCACCGGGGTATTATTCGCCCTGGTTACCAACAACACTGTCCCTCTCTCCGTTGCCGTGGTTACACGAGGGCCCGAAGATGCGGTAAGCTCCTCCTCCGCTGACATCACGTCCTGTCAAAGTCTCCACACACATACACACTCACATACACGTGAGGTACACAAATCGAGTACTTGTGCACTATTCTACGCCATTTTGTAGTATAAATAGTGCAAGTAGTGCGTTCACACTGAAAAATTCAGAAAGTACATACTGTATAAGTGTATAGTGCATAAGTACTCACATAGTGTATAAGTACATAGTGCATAAGTACTCACATAGTGTATAAGTACATAGTGTATAGTGCATAAGTACTCACATACTGTATAAGTACATACTGTATAAGTGCATAGTGCATAAGTACTCACATAGTGTATAAATACATAGTGTATAAGTACTCACATACTGTTAAAGTACATAGTGTACAGTATAACTACTCACATACTGTATAAGTACATAGTGTATAAGTGCATAGTGCATAAGTACTCACATAGTGTATAAGTGCATAGTGTATAAGTACTCACATAGTGTATAAGTACATAGTGTATAAGTGTATAGTGCATAAGTACTCACATAGTGTATAAGTACATAGTGCATAGTGCATAAGTACTCACATACTGTTTAAGTACATAGTGTATGAGTACTCACCTACTGTACAAGTACATACTGTATAAGTGCATAGTGCATAAGTACTCACATACTGTATAAGTGCATAGTGCATAAGTACTCACATAGTGTATAAGTACATAGTGTATAAGTGCATAGTGCATAAGTACTCACATAGTGTATAAGTGTATAGTGCATAAGTACTCACATAGTGTATAAGTACATAGTGTATAAGTGTATAGTGCATAAGTACTCACATAGTGTATAAGTACATAGTGTATAGTGCATAAGTACTCACATACTGTATAAGTACATAGTGTATGAGTACTCACCTACTGTACAAGTACATACTGTATAAGTACATAGTGTATGAGTACTCACATACTGTATAATTACATGGTGCATAAGTACTCACCTACTGTACAAGTACATAGTGTATAAGTGCATAGTGCATAAGTACTCCCATACTGTATAATTACATAGTGCATAAGTACTCACCTACTGTACAAGTACATACTGTATAAGTGCATAGTGCATAAGTACTCACATACTGTATAAGTGCATAGTGCATAAGTACTCACATAGTGTATAATTACATAGTGCATAAGTTTTCATATACTGTATAAGTACATAGTGCATAAGTACTCACATACTGTATAAGTGCATAGTGCATAAGTACTCACATACTGTATAAGTGCATAGTGCATAAGTACTCACATACTGTATAATTACATAGTGCATAAGTTTTCATATACTTTATAAGTACATAGTGCATAAGTACTCACATACTGTATAAGTGCATAGTGCATAAGTACTCACATACTGTATAAGTACATAGTGCATAAGTACTCACATACTGTATAAGTACATACTGTATAAGTGCATAGTGCATAAGTACTCACATAGTGTATAAGTGCATAGTGCATAAGTGTATATTGTGTGATTTGGGACACTGGCGCTCTGGTGTTGCAGGACCTGCAGGTGTTTGTGGACGGTGTGTGTGTGGCGACTCTACAGTCTCTGATGCTCTGCTATCCGGATCGTCTACTGGTGGAGATGAGAGTGTCAGCTGATGTTCTCCTCCTCTCAGCGAACTCCTCCACCGTGACCTACAGTGACCCCGTGACCCTGAGCGAAGCACTAGCCAAGCTCAACCGCGCCATGCAGCGACACGTCCACACTTACATCGGAGGACTTCCAGGTCAGGCAGCGACTTCACTTCCTTTTGAACCCGACTGAGCAGAACACAAAGGTTTATAAAGATAGATGCTCACTAATATAGTGATAAATCCATGCAGTCCATGAAGCTCGCAACGCAAAGGTCAAGGGTTCGATCCCCAGGGAATGCAGTCGCTTTGGATAAAAACCTCTGCCTTATGCATGAATGGAAGTGCAAACATTAAATATATATATATATATATATATATATATATATATATATTTAAATATATATATATATATATATATATATATATATGTTTACGAGGGAACTAGTCGTTTTTCTCTAGTGCTAGTCCTCCTAGTGAAGTGCTGAAACCAAGTATGAGTTATTAATATTATTAGCGTTTTTGATCCATAATAGTGTTTTGCTTTGTAATTTTCTCTGTTAGTCAAGTTATAGTTGACTAAACTAAAAAAATAAATAAATAATATATTTACCTAATTTTTTTCAGCAAGGCAACATTTTTCATTTTTATTTAAGGTTGAAATACTTAAATAACTAAAACTGAAACATATAAAAACTATGTAGACGTAATAATCGTATTATTAATAATAAAAATGACTAAAACACAACAAAAAATGTAATTAAAGCTAAAAGTGAAAACAAAATATAATAATATAATATACTTTTTTAAATATACTGAAGATGTAAAAAATTATGTAAAGAAATTAAAACAATTACACAACAAAATGACTAAACGCAACAAAATGATTAAAACTAAAAATTTAAGTAAAAAGAAAATTAAATCTACTGAAGAATTGTGTACTAAAATAACTAAAACTGGAATACAATTAAAACTGAAATAAAAAAAGAACTATAGACATTTTTTAAATAATAAAAATGACAAAAACACAACAAAATGACTAAAACTAAAAATTAAAGTAAAAAGAAAATTAAATGTACTGAAGAATTATGTACTAAAATAACTAAAACTGGAATATAATTGAAACAAAACTATCACATTTTTTTTAAATGAATAAAAATGACAAAAAATAATAAATAAATAAACAAACTGGTGAGTTAATCCCAGTAAGTGGTGAAGTGAAGTACAGTATCTGTGCTGACATCTGATCCTCTTTATCAATACATTCATCAATGGTGGAGATGAAGCTGTCCATCCTCCAGTGTGACGCCTGAGAGGAGCAGAACGCGATTCCCATCGAGCGTGTTCGTCTCCGAGTCCAAACACTACAGACAGGAGACCATCTGATCTAATCAGTGCTGGATGCTTTAAAGCAGCATGACAGTGGCGTTACACTGGTCTCTCTCCTCTAGTGTGTCGTATATCGAGAGAAACGCTTCTGGAACGAGAACACATGTGGGCGGGGCTTGATTGTGTCTGTGAGGAGTTGATTGGATGGTTGTGGTTTGCTATTGGCTGATCTCATGTGAGTGACAGGTTAAAGCCCCGCCCTCGTCATCAGAAAAGAGATTCAAGAGGAACTGATTCTCATTCAAGATTATTAACACATGATGTGTGTGTGTGTGTGTGTGTGCAGATCTCCCAGTGTCCATCACTCCGATCTCCGCGTTCTTCCACGGCTGTCTGGAGGTCAGTGTGAACGGGCGGCAGCTGGACTTCGACGAGGCTGTTAGTAAAGACAACAGCATCAAGTCTCACTCCTGCCCCCCCGTTTCTGCCCCGGACACGCCCCAGTAGACAGGAAGTGACATCACAGCCTCACACTGGAACACGTGACACGCCATCCACCCAATCACAGCCACAGTAGACAGGAAGTGACATCACAGCCTCACGCAGGGACATCAAACATTCTGGCTTCAGCATGACATCATGTCCTGTGTATTTGAACACGTGTTTTAATCGATCCACTCATTAGTGTGAACGAGCCTCTGTTTACACGCGCGACAGACATTCGTCCTGATGGTTGTAGTGTTATTATGATGATGATGATGATTCCTGACGTGTCCGCTGTGTGTGTGTGTGTAATCAGTATAGAGCCGTCAGTTTGTGTATCTTGTATATAACACTGATTTTAACGCGATGTGAATATGTTTAGCTGGATATTGAACACTAGTGCTGCATTAATCGTTGCAATCAAAATTTAATAAATAAAAAACTAAACATGAAATGCTGCATGTCGTTGTCTTTGAAAGTTAAATTCCACTTTAGACATGAACGAGAAAGTATTTAGTTAACCGGCATTAAAGATGATTAAATACTGTAGCTCCTCCAGTGACAGACATGAGGCGAGAGGGTCTTGTTTATAATACAGGGATTTAATGCTGGTCAACCCGTGAGAACTGCTTGAAGATGAAGAAAATATATATAAATTAACAAAAAATAATGCTATATGCATGTCTCACAAATATTGTGTCATAATCAAGGCCATATAGCTAACGTTAGACACCTTATATCTGTTATAACGTTACATCACAACAATACACATGAAAACATATGTAAACACAAACACCATCACATTAAAATAAACGGTCAACAAACCTATCACATAGAGGTGCTAAACATTCTTTCAAATCTTTTCTGCCTATTTTCTGATTTAAACTTTAAAACTTAAATACATCAGTCTCTTTCGCGAATCGCGGTAATGTTTTTCTCAGTGCGTCGCTCAAAACCGCCCGGCCGGAAAACTCCGGGCGGAACCAATAATTAGTTCAGTCTTGCTGTTAACATTAAATTCAGAAGAAACACAATAGTAAAAGTGCTAATACAGAAATAAACTGGCGATAGAGGCAGTTACAAATACTGTGACACATGTATTACTCATTGTTAGTTAATGTTAGTAAATCTCGTAATAAAACAAGAATCAACATCAGCTTGTGTGTGTGTGTTCAGGAGATCTGACGGGAGATGACGGTGTTTATTACTCTACACGAGAGGAAGTGTTTTATTGTACAGATTCTCCGTGTGGAGATCAGTTCATTACGGTGGGTTTATTCTTAAAGAAGTATCGTGTTATTAATGTGTAAAACTACAGTCCTGCTGTCGATGACCAGCTTTGCCCTTACCGGCCGATGGTCACTAGAACTTGCGGCCGATGACAGGACCGACAGACCTGGGCAGATCGTTGTGGTCTGCGCTGACCATTGTTGGCCGGTGAGTTCAGACCGATTCCCGAAAACTACCGTCACGTCTTCAGAGAGTCGGCTTCAGATCTGAACGCGTTATTTCTCTAGTCGTGAATGTTTTAATAGCAGAAGGATAATCAATAATTAAGCACAACCAAAACAATCCTTTCGCAAAATACAAGCGGTTTTGTTTTTCACCACTAGAGGGACAAAAGAAACATGTTCTTCAACTTCAGATCAGATCTTCCTCACTTTAAAAGAAGAGCTCGTCCAGTAAAAGTCCTGGATATTAATTTCCCTGAAGGTCAGCTTGTTATTAATAGAAAGTGCTCTACTTTTGACTCTGTTTTGTGTAGTTTAAAGGTGCATGAATGTCTGCGTATGGCAATAACTGACACTGGATCTGTATCTCTGTTACCAGTGTTGGGAGTAACGCATTACAAAAGTAATACATTACAGTAACATATTACTTTTTGCTGTAACGCAGTAGTGTAAGGCATTACTAATCAATTTTCAGTAATATTTTACTCGGTACATGTTCAGTGAGGCAATAACTGACACTGGATCTGTATCTCTGTTACCAGTGTTGGGAGTAACGCATTACAAAAGTAATACATTACAGTAACATATTACTTTTTGCTGTAACGCAGTAGTGTAAGGCATTACTAATCAATTTTCAGTAATATTTTACTCGGTACATGTTCAGTGAGGCAATAACTGACACTGGATCTGTATCTCTGTGAAGTGTTACAGACGGACCCGAGTGACCCGACCTCAGCGTTGCATAAAGACACAGATGGGAAACGGAAAGAGAATGAAAACACTGGGTCAGAAAAACAAGAGGAAGAATGTAACCTCACATGTGACGGGAATAGCAGAGTCAGATCAACAGACAGCTGTGATAGAGAGAGAGAAGATCTGAGGCTTCACACACACTCAAACTGCTGGATCACAACCTAACACACACACACATTCTGCTGTTTCTTCTCATAGTGACTACTTCTCTGGAAACACACACATTAATTGAGAATTTTTGTCCTAAACGGAACAGTTCAACCAAAAATGAAAGTTGTATTATCGTTGTCTTCATTGGAACTCGAAAGATGTTTCGCTGGAAATCTCACTCGGTGTCGCAATAGAAATAATAGAAGATATCTGTTTTTATATTCATGCTGACGTGCGTGTGCCAACAAGGAGACTAGCAAACACTGAGCATGATGGGAAACACCTTGAAATGCTTGTGATTGTGACATAATTCCTGTTTCTGCTAATCTTACGAGTATCTTCCCATCACTCTTGCATCTCTTCTCTGGTTCTTCGTATTTTCATTTTCATTTTTCATTTATTTTCTATTCTTTTTTCATGGTAATGCAACACGAAATACCACAAGAACAATTTAACAAATCCAACAAACACAAAGTACATTCCATGACAAAAAAGAACAGGAGTAGGATGAGGAAAAAAATCTTATAAACTCCAACCCCATTCCTATAAACAAGATTCACAAATTAGATGACCTCACCAACATAAAATGACAAACAACAGAAAAATTAAAGGAAAAATATATATATATATACACACACACATACATATACAGACTAGCCCAAACCAGATATAATTTACCTTCAATTATAACACATTTTTCTCTATTTGTCTATTATTATTATTATTATTATCTTTTAATACTAATTCTGCTTACATGATATTAAATAAATAAAACCAACAAAGATGCAATAATGACAAATCCAACAACCAAAATAACAACAAACGCATAATTATTGTAATAATTCTATTAGTTTTCACATTCCTCTTTATAGACTTTAAGTATCTTTTGTTTATAATTATTTTTAAATTGTAAGATATTTGAACAACATTTTAGATCATTTCCTAGAAGATTCCATCTTTTCACACCAGAGACTGAAACACACATTTGAAGTCATTATTTCTTCTGCTTGTCTCACTATTTAAAGTGAAAAGGGTTTGCAGTTCATACGGTATCAGGCAGTGTTTAGCTTTGTGAACAACTAACAAAGTTTGTAAAGAAACCAAATCCTTCAGTTTAAGTAGTCCTGACTCCAGAATCAGTCCTGTAGTGTGTTCTCTGGGAGCAACTCCATGAATTATTCTTAAAGCCCTTTTTTGCTAAATAAATAAGGGCGCTAAATTTGTAAAATAAGAATTCCCCCAAATCTCCAATTTTTGTGGAAAGAAAGGCCTTAAAACGTCAAGATCTGCTTATATTTAATCTCTCTTAGAAGAAAACAAATACAACCCTAGCTATTTATTTGATTCGAGACAGTTCTCGTCAGAGTCACGCATGATCTGCTCTCATCATCCGATCGCAGTCGTATCTCTCTATTAGTGTTACTCCATCTCAGTGCTGCGTTTGACAACAACATTCTCTTAAATAGACTAGAAAACTATGTTGGCATTTGTGCAATTGCATTAATCACACTTATCTGAGCGTTATCATCAGTGTGTAGCAGTAAATGAAGAGAGTCTTATCCATCACAAGTTCAGTATGGCGTCCCACAAGGCTCAGTACTAGGACCGCTGCTGTTCACTCTTCTAGATCTGCTGTACAGCGAAAACACACTTTGTTGCTTTATTTTCCTGTTATCTCTGAAAAGCTGCTTTAAAACATAATAAAGTGTAAAAATGTATATAAAGGTGACTTTATCTTTAGGGCGGGGCAACCTGTCACTCAGATGAGATGCAATAGCAAACCACAACCATCCAATCAGTCAAAATCAAGCCCCGCCCAAATATATTTATTCTTGTTCCAGAAGCGTTTCACTCGGATATACAACACAATAGAAAAGAAAAGACCAGCGCATTCAAGTGTAAGAATTAATCTCATGAGATTTGAGGTTTAACAGCTAGATGTAATGTTCTCGTATCGACACACAGGCCAATTCAATTTGAGAGATTTCAGTTAATAACAGCATAATAAATTCAGTTTGTGCATTACATGAATCCAGACATGACTGTTATGATACCAAATTTTTTTAAAGCTCAACCTCTCCAGTCCCCATTCACTTTCATTGGATAATTCAGAGCAGCGTGAACATTCTGCTAAGTGTCTCCTTTTGTGTTCCACTAAAGAAAGAAATGCAGGTTTGAAGGACACGATAAGGGAGAGTGACTGAGGACAGAATGCTGTTATTATTTAGGTTAAGCAAAGCTTTAAAGGCTAGTTTTCTCAGTGCTAGTGGAAGTACTGCAGTGATCTGCTCTTGCAGAAGAAAATTCTGCATCGGGAACTCCCTGCAACTTTCACCAATAAACCGTCGAATCTGCTGCTCACGTTTGTGAAGAGAGAGAGAGAGAGAGAGAGAGAGAGAGAGAGAGAGAGAGAGAGAGAGAGAAGAGAGAGAGAGAGAGAGAGACGAGAGACGAGAGAGAGAGAGAGAGAGTGAGCACGAGAGAGAGAGAAAGAGAGAGAGAGAGAGAGAGAGAGAGAGAGAGAGAGAGGTTGAATGTGCTGCAGAAACGCTCGTGTTCGGCTTTGAATGTGGCGGTTCAGTGCAGGATTTTGACCCAGAACGAGTGAAAGTTTGCCGCAGAATCGCCACGATGAGAGAGTTTGTGTCGAGCTTCTGTTTCGTGCTGCTGTACATCGGATTCTCCTCGCAATGTAAGTAACAGTTTACACGAAACAAGCCGCTGTTCCTGCGCACTAGCGCGGCTCAAACTTGTTCGGCTCAGCCGGAGTTGAGAGTCTCTGGTGTCCGTTCTCAGTGTCCGTGTCGCCGAGGCAAGCCAACGAGTTTCTCCGCAGACACCGGAGAGGGAACCGGGTGTTCGAGGAGACCAAGCAGGGTCACCTGGAGAGGGAGTGTGTGGAGGAGACGTGCAGTAAAGAGGAGGCGAGAGAAGTCTTCGAGAATGACCCTGAGACGGTAAGAGAGTTGCCGATTAATCGGGTTAGTGATCGCGCTTTCATCCGAGATTCTGTGCCGCTCCCTAGTTAGTGTGCACTATACAGGGCTGCAGTGGTGGATTTGACAGGGCTGCTGTCACATTTATAGATGTCTTTTTAACTGTGAAATCAAGCATCAGAACTCATGAACCTGAACCAATCTACATAATCGAGCCGATTATACTCATGAATATGAATATTCATATCGAACTTTAAATTATAGTGCTATTTGTGTGAATAGGCCTTTGTATCAAGACACACACACACACACATATATATATATATATATAGGTGCTGTCAAATCGATTAGTCACAATTAATCACATCAATACAGTGTATGTATGTATGTGTATGCACACATATTATAATTGTATGTGTGCATATGTGGTAAAATATATACATAACACAAATTTTAATGTTAGATATTGAAATTAAAGCACTAATATGCATAATATATTAACCAAGCCCTAGTTCTTAGCCTAACTCTATAGTACATGTAGTTTATTAAGTACTCAGTACATACATGTTTAATTACACAGTAACAAGGTGTAGTGCAAATGTGATATATAATAATCACACGTTTTCATGCTGCATTGATGATATTTTTACGGCCGTATTTTCCCATGAGGCTTTGCACCGTACCTGATTTCACATCCATAACCCTGCATGAATATGATTCCTCATGCACAGCCTGTTCTCCTCTGGGAGCTGATATGCAGATGAGCGGGTGTTCGGCGCCTCTGATTGGTCCCTGAGGGGCGTGTCGTATGTCACTGTGTTGTTGACTGACTGTTGAGCCTGGAATGTGTTTTTGATACAGAATGAATTCCAGTGTGGCGGCGCACGTCTGACTGAGCAGATTTAATCCTGTTTGGTCTGTAGAATAAGGATCAGGGATTCGGGAATGTTTAGGAAGCATAAAAGATTATGATGACATCAGCAGCGCCTTAGTACTTTCTATTCTTAGCTTGAGCATGAGGAATTCTGGATTCAACTTTATTTGAAGTGCCATTTCAGTTCAATAACGGTTTCAATGTTGCAAAGTTCATCACTAATGAAACAAACTCAATTCAGTTCAGATGTCTACAGATTCCAGGTTTTGTTCAGTCAGATCGATGTTATTTCTGGATTTCGAGTGTTTTAAACCCCAGCGAGAGCATTGAAGGTGATGCCGGTCACTGGTTTGCGTGCTAGAGACACTGGGTTTCCTCTTTCCCATCCCAGAATGCATTATTCACCGGCAGCGCGTGCAGCCGGCTTCTCTGACGCTGCAGAATTCTCACTGCAGTGTGTGTGTGTGTGTGAGTGAGTCAGCATGCCGGTTCCTGGGTGAAGTTTGAGTGCAGCGCTGACTTTAATGCACAGAGGACGCGACATCGATCCGCTCACGACCCGTGTGAGGACGTCAGGGGTCAGCGGGGTCATCCTAATCACCTGCTCTCATTAATGATGCTTTATTTAATTCTGCAGGGATATTAAATGCACACAGACAATGACAGAGGAAGATTAAAGTATCTGTGTAGAATAGATTTACTCCTCCGTGTGTGTGTGTGTGTGTGTGTGTGTGTGTGTGTCCTTTCATACCTTCCTGAAACATGAGACATGACTCATTATCCTTGATGTAAGACAAAATCTGGGCTCAACATGTCAGGACAGGAACACAGTTGCATCATGGGCCGTCTGTGCAGTTTCATCATCATCATATATCTTCAAATGTAATGTTCATTCATAAGCAAAAGCCTGTTGATTATTAATAATTTCTCTTTTATAGGAGTATTTCTACCCCAGGTATCAGGGTGAGTGTGTTATCATCACTTTAATGAAGGTTTGGATCATTTAATATCATTTGAGTTGATTGTTGAATCTGTTTGATTCTCTTTAATTCTAAAGCTTGTATGGAGAAGTTTGGGAAAGGTCTGAAACAGGACTTGATCACCTGCGTCCACAGTGAGTTATCTCTCTCTCTCATCAATAAAAAGTTATTACTATTTATATCTTCATAAAGAGCTCGTGTGGAGTTTGATCTTGCATCTGAGCGTCTCTCTCTGCTCGTCATCCTCCCGTCACTAAATCAGTGAAGGTGTGTGTGTGTGTGTGTGTGTGGATGACTGCAGGTGGGTGTGTGTGTGTGACGTCTGCTGGAGGCTCGTCCTGCTTTACTCCTGTCTGCTGATTGGATGGCAGCACTGCGCTGTGATTGGTCGGTGTGTGTCCAGCAGAAGCCCCTAGTCAGAGAGAGAGAGAGAGATAGAGAGAGAGAGATGCGTCTTCATGCACCGTCTGCAAACGCACAACCAGAGTCATGGAAATACAGACTCTCAGAACTGACCTTGAGCGATCACATGACTGTAAATGATTACTCAGTGACGTTATCAGAACGAAAAATGTTTCATGTCCCAAACAGAGGTTAACTAACATTAGCAGTTGCATAGAAATAGATGTCATGCCCTATGATGTGTTTCATGGAAGCGACAACCTTCCCATCACTCTCTCGAATCCAACACTGAAGCGACTGAAACTGCAGTTCCTCCACTGGCCACTAGAGAGTCAGTCGCATAGACCCGCCTTTACAGCAGAACAAAACATGTTTACAGCCTGATCAAAAAGCGGTTTAGTCTATATAAATAATTTTCCCTTCCCGAATATTTTTATAACGTATCCGTTTCATGAGTTCCTTTGCCCATATAATGTTAAAGCTAATACACACACCAGCGGCTCTACTGATGCTGAGTACAGGAGCGAGACGCCCGAGTCGTGCAGGTGGAGCTGGGGACGCTCCCATGGTTAATCGAAAGATTAGATGGGTTCACCCTTACCCAAATTACATTGTGAACTTCACTTACATTATATTAAGCCTTAAAGGAGTAGTTCACTTTTGAAAAAACTTTTGCTGATAATTTACTCTCCCCCGTGTCATCCAAGATGTCCATGTCTTTCTTTCTTCAGTCGAAAAGAAATTAAGGTTTTTGATGAAAACATTCCAGGATTTTCTCCATATAATGGACTTCAATGGGGACCAAACGGTTCAAGGTCCAAAAGACAGTTTCAGTGCAAACTGTTCAAATGTCTTTAAACGACACCAGACGATGAATAAGGGTCTTATCGAGCGAAACGATCGGTTATTTCAAAACTTATTCCAAAAATGTAACTTTTCTAAGGACAAATGCTAGCCTTGCTCTATTCTGTGAGGCGCGTTTGTAACGTCACGTAATACGTAATTACGTTCAAAAGGTCACGGGCGACGTAGCCGGAAGCACAGAATCAAAATCGTCCGACATCGTTGTTTTACCATTTAATTCCTTTTTTGTAAACGGCGTTTAAGTCAGTTTGCACGTTCAACCTATGCGTTCAACTTAAACACTGACTCTACGTCGCCCGTGACCTTTTGAACGTAATTGCATATTGCGTGACGTTACAAACGCGCCTGGAATTTGGAATAAGTTTTGAAATAGATCGTATCGCATGATAAGACCCTTATTCATCGTCTGGTGTCGTTTAAAGCGCTTTGAACAGTTTGCACTGAAACTCTCTTTTGGACCTTGAACCGTTTGGTCCCCATTGAAGTCCATTATACGGAGAAAATCCTGGAATGTTTTCATCAAAAACCTTAATTTCTTTTCGACTGAGGAAAGAAAGACATGGACATCTTGGATGACACGGGGGCGAGTAAATTATCAGCAAAAGTTTTTTCAAAAGTGAACTACTCCTTTAAAGTTCTGCATAATTAAGGGCGTGGCCACTTGAGTGACAGGTGGATTGCTGCTGATGTCACTGCTAGTGTTAGCATCACGTCACCTCTGCTAATCCGCCTCGCTGCACGTGTTCGTTTATCCGGGAGTGACGCGTGGCCGGCTCCGCCCACTTTGGGCTTCGAAACACTACGGGTGACGTCACGCACACTACACACTTATTTATTTTTGCCGTCTACGGATCCATGGGTCACATTACAGAATCTAGAAGAGTTTGGTCTCTGTGTTCCTGTTCTCTCCCGCAGATATTCCGGACCAGTGTTCCCCGAACCCCTGCAATCATTACGGGACGGTGCGCTGCGAGGACAAGAAGGGCGATTTCCTCTGCCACTGTTTCACCGGCTGGAGCGGCGTCAACTGTGAGAAAGGTACGAGCACACGACCCCAGGTTAAAGGTGACGACGCGTGTTGTTCGTTTATTCTAGCGCTGTGCAACGATCAATTAATATTAACGCTTTTCACAACGATGCCAAAGGAAGCATCTCGAGTTCCCCGAAGAACCTTTTTTTCTTACTGTAATAATATGTGATATGTAATAATAATAATACTATTAATAGTGCTGGGCAACGATTAACCGCAATTAATCACATTCAAAATAAAAGTTTGTATTACAT